GACAGGAGCGCAACCCTGAATAGAAGACTAATGGGAGAGCATACAACAGAACAGCAAGAGTGGAAGGGGAGGCCAAGATCCGCAGGACGTGTCTCACGCCAGCCCCCCGGTCTATCAGCAGCCTCTGCCCATCTTTGTGCTCCTTATCTCAGCAACTCCTCCTGGCTCCCCACTCCGACAGCCTCGCATGACGCCCATCCGAGCAGCCACTGCTCCCCGGGCCCCATCCCGGGGCCCGGCCCCGAGGCTGCCCCGCTCCAGCGCGCTCCCCCACCTCCCCCTGCCCCACTCCCGGACCTGCCCAAACCTCCCGAGCCCCCACCAGCCCGCAACTCACATGGCCCACCTCCCCGCACCCCCGGGCCCCGCACGGCCCCACGATGCTGTTACCCCTCACCTCAGCCATCCCGCTGCGCCCCCCGCCCCGGATCGCCGCGCTCCGGGCCCCGCAGCCCCTCACCCCGTTTAACCCCACGCCGGGCCTCTCCTCCCCGCAGCCCGCCGGGCCCCTGCCCCGCTCCCGCCCCCGGAGCCCCCTGGGCTCCCCGGGGCCCCGCCGGTGCCTCCGCCCCGCCCCGGGCCTGCCCCGCCGGGCCCGAGCGCCGCTCGCCCGCACGCGGGAGGCAGCGGGAGGCAGCGCGGGGCGGGCGGCGGCGGCGGCGGCACCGCTCTTACCTCCGACCCGGTACATGTTGGCGGCCATGCCCGCGACCGGGCCGAGTGCGGGGCGCGGGCCGCTCCCGCCGCCTCCAGGTGCCGGATCCGCTGGAAAATGGAGGCTGGAGCGGGCGGCGGGGGAGAGGAGCGGGGGAATTAAAGGGGCCGCGCCGGCGGACGGGGAGGGAGCGAGGCGGAGGGCGGGGCGGCGGCCCGACGGAGGGGGCCCGGCGGCGGCGGCGGCGGCGGCGGCAGGGAAGGAGGGAGGGAGGGGAAGGAGCCGGAGCCGCCCGCCCGCGGCGTGAGAGGGCGGCGCTCCGGCTGCGCGAGGGGAGGGACGGGACGGGACAGGAGGGAGAGGGGACGGGGGCGGCACGGCCTCCTCACACACACACACAGAGGAAGAGGGAGAGACTGCGTGTACGTACACAGACACGGGGTCAGACTGCGGGTATGCACACACAGATCGCCGGTCCTCGCACATACACACAGGCTGCCCCTGCACACACTCACACACACACTGCCTGTACACAAACACACACACACAGACCGCCTGTCCTCATGCACGGCCTCTCCTCGCATGCACAGACCGCCTGTGCTCACACACAGTCACACAAACACCTGGACACTCCTAAGTCACACACACCCCTGTCTTCACACAGTCCTTCTCACTCAGCTCTCCAGTCCCCACACAGGCTCCAGCCATCCTCGCACACCATCCCTGTTCTGGCATGGACAGCCCTCCTCATACACACACACCAGCCTGTCCTCAAGTACAGCCCGACACACAGAGACACACTCTCTCAAACACCACTTGCGTTCACGTCTGTCTGTACACACAGCTCTCCTCACACGTGCATCTGCCTGTACTTGCGCACAACCTTCCTCGTAGCACCTTACCTGTATACACAGCCCCCCCCACACTCCACCTGTTCTTACACACACATCTGCCTGTACTCACAGCCCTTCTAGTGTGTCACCTGTATTCACACACGAGCCTCCATGTACAGGCAGCACCTGTCCACACACACACAGTATTCCTCACACACACCCAATCTGTCCCCACCCTGGGCAGGAACAACAGGTCACTCCACAGATACAGCCCTTCTCATGCACACTCACAGCCTGCTCGCATGACATGAGATGCCCCTCACACCTGCACCTACATCGAGATGCTTGCCTGTTCTCCACGTACATCCCTCCAGCCCTACGTACACAGGAGTCCCATGCCCTACAAACACCCCCTGCTCATGTGTCCCACTCCTACAGTGTCTCACTTGGATCCCCATAATGGTGAGAGGCTTCCTGGACTGTTCCCTCTGTACTTGTGTCACCCACTGCCATGCTGGGGCTTTCCCCCCTCTGCGGGTGTCAGCCTTTGAAGTGAAATGTAGCTGATGGCTTTAGCTTTCCCTTGCCCACTGACCTGGGGAGGTTACCAGTCCTGTGCACACGGGGCTGCACCACACAGGTACACCTCTTCTTCACTTGTGCACAGCTCCTGCCCAGGTGTCCCCTCGGCAGCCATGGTTACACAGTTGTTGAACAGTTGTCAGGTCCAGATCACTGCAAAACTTTCACATTGCACATTACCATTTCCTCTCCTACAGGAACCAACAGGCTGACTCCAAAAAACACCCCAAGAAACCATCATAACACTTTTACAGTAGGTTTCCCAGCGAGGACTGACAAAGTGCAGCAGCGGAGGTGAGAGTCCAACCCCCTCTGAAGACTTATCCATGCATGTGGCCAAGGCTGGTTGATGAACTCGAGGAAAAGCTACGCCTCTGATGGTCAGCACAGGCAGATCCAGGGCACTGCTGGGCTCTTGGGATTGGCAGGACAACTACACTTGGTCCTCAGCTCCAGTGCAGAGCTGGAGAGTCACCTGGTGTTGCCTGAGCCCGTTGTCAGCCCAGGACCCCTCTACATAATCAGACAGGTCAGAATGGCCAAAAAATACCTGTCATGAAATGTTTTGCTGGAGCCCTTTATCAGGGCTGAGCACAGCCTTTACCTGCACTCTCAACCCTGGTTCTCCTGAAGTCCTGAAACAGCTATGCAAGACCACCCAAACGTTGACATCTGCCAAAATACATATTTCTTCAGAAAGAACAGGGCTCTTGTTAAAATTTGCTTTGAATGTTAGGAAAAAAAAACCCCTACAACACCAAATCTGACAGTCCTCAGATCCCAGCTGGTCACAGGGCTCTGCTTTCATGTTTCCAGTGTGTGCAAGGAGCACGGCTGAGTGAGGAGAACACTTCTGGGGGTGAAAGTCGGTCAGCCAAAAAAGGTCAATGCGCCAGGGAGCACCACCGTGATATTTCCTCCTTTCTGAGCCAGCCAGGGAAGCGCGTGCCGGCACAGGCACCGAGCACACCCCAGGACATGAGGGCTGGCTCTCCCCAGGCTGCTTCAGCAACCATTAAGCAGAGCAAAAAATAATCCAGTAGGACACACAAAAATTATCCAGAATAAATATTTACAAATCGCATCACAGGGCACTCGGTAGTTGCACATGAAGAAGCGGAGGGTCACGTGGTTCTCACTGCTTTTTCCAGATGCTAAATTGTGCTTTAAACGACAGCAGCAAAAACGTGTCAGAACTTCCCTGCTGTTCCTCTTCCAGGTTAAGCAACAGCTGTGGCCACAGCCGGGGTGTTATGCAGTGGGAGGGAGGTGAGCTGGTGCTGGTGGCTGCAGCCTGGGAAGGAGCAGGCTCTTGCAACGCCTCGTCTGCCACCGCCAAACCTCACTCCCATGGGTGCCACTGACTCTCACTGTGGCAAACCCCATCCTCCCAGAAGGCTTTTGGTGAATCCTGACAGGGCATCACTTTTGTTTGACACCTCTTCTGTGGCACTGAGGGTGCACATCCCCTGAGAAAGGGCTAGACCTGCAAAAGAACACTGGTGCTTTGAGAGCCCAGTCTGGGGTTTCCTGGCAGAAATTGGTCTGCCCCTCTCTAGGCCCATTGCATTCGACCTGGCACACCCTGGCCTTGAGCCATCCTTGCTCCACCCAGCCCTCATTTCATTCTCCTCCCTTCTGAACAACAGGACAGCAGCCCCACCAGGGCATTTGGCTTGGTGTGTGTGGGGCTGATCCTCTGCTTCCCCTGCCAGTACATGAGCCTTCCCATCACCTCAGTCCCCTCCATTTGCACTCTCCTTCCCATACTGAGATGGGCTCCTCTGTGGACTCTAAAAGGTGAAGCTCAGGATGTGCCTCTTTCACACAGCTGGGCCCTCAGTGCAAGTTTATAGTTAAACCTGTGCAAAAAATACACAGCCAAAACAGCCTTCAGCACACTTGTCTCCACAAGCTGCCCCACAGTGCTCCCCCCATCTCACCAGCAGCCACGCTCTCTCTGTGGCTTTTGGTGCTGTTTCTGCACTCAAGAGTCCTGAATTTGCCCTCTCCTGAACTACCAGCCTTCCTTCTGCCTGGAATGATCCAATGCCTGCTCTGTGCCACCAGGGTGAGAGTTGTGTCCCCTCCTCCAGCAAAGGGCTCGGGTCATAAATGTGCCTGCACTTGGCCAAGCCACCCAGAGGGGCTAGGACATCTACTGAGACCTGAGTGCTTTGAGAGCAGCCTGGCCCACTGCGAAGGGCTCCCTTCACCCCAGCTCCTTGCTCTGTCAGCAGCCGCTCCTCCACCCCTCACCCTCGGTCAGGGGAGCACAGGGATGCAGGCTGCTCCAGCTTGGCATCCTCCCCACTGCCTTCAACATGCTGTATACTAGAGACCATGGGCCCATTTCCCAAAATTTCTTCACCTTCCTGCCTCAAAACAGCTGCTTAGCTCTTCTTTTTCCTTCTTCTCTCCACCTCCTGACTGCCCAGCACTGAGCCTAGGTATTTGGAGTGTCATACATGGCAGTCCCTCTCCCACGGTGCTCCCAGGAGCACGCACAGCTTCAGGCTACCCCAGCCTCAATCTTCTCCCACTGAGATGCCCCCTTCTTCATACCCAAACACCACTGTGTCCCTCCAACACAGCCCCCAGACCACAAACTGGCACCAGCCTGGTCCCTTGTTGCTGCGAGGAGGTGAGGACTGGCTGTAGAGAGGGCTGTCAGATCCAGGAGCTGCAGGGAAAGGAGGCAGCAGGGACAGTGGAGAGGGCAACAGGGCTGCAAAAACTACAGGAGAGCTCAGTGCTGGGCAGGACGTGCCAAGCCACCAGCTCTGCCCTGGAAGTGCTGCCGGGCAGCTGGATAAGTAACACAAGAGATCCCCCCACGCCAGAAAGTCATGCTGCTGTTTCCTGCTGAGGACAACTGCCCCAGTCATGCCAGAGCAGCCCCTGCTGAGAGATGACTCAGGGGACGGGTGTGTGCTTTCATGTCCAGTTTTATTAGTGTTGCATTAGTACCATAAAATAGTTGACGAGGTCGAGCACATTGCAGTTTGTTCCAAAAAAGGCTATTTACATGTAATCTGTCTTCATAAAAAACAACCCTAGAACCCAAACAATACAACAATGAAACAGATGGACAACTCGAGAATCTACAAAGTGGTAATGTCCTGGTCTGGACAAGCCTGGCGGCACGCAGCCCCAGGAACTGTGCTCACAGGGCGCTTCCCCACAGCCACCACATACACACAGCCGGGCAGGCAATGCACCCTGGCAGCTCTCCGGCCAAGGAGCCAAGCAGCAGCTTCCTGGATGTGGCCCCAAACTGGTGCTCTTCCTTAAGGAAGCCAGTGACCTGCTGCTTTGCAAGTGGCACATCCCCTTTCGTCCCAGTCTGTCCCAAAGCACCCAAGTGATCCTGCAGGAGCCAGCCCTGCCAGGAACATCTCCCATGGCAACACTGCTGAAGAGGCTCCAGGAAACCTGCAGGTGCTCATTTCTGGCCCTTTCCTGCCAGGTAAGCCCAGATGATACACTAAACACTACCATACAGCCATCAGCTGAGATCGAGACCGCCCACGCCGAAGGCGACAGAGGCATTGCACCCTACCTTGCTTCAAGAAAGCTCCAGGACCCCCAGTCCATTACCACTGCATGGCAGGACTGTCCTAATCCCAGCCTCTCCAATCCCCTCAGCACACCAAGCAGCAGGAGAAGGCCACCAGCTCTGCTGCCTTTTGACAGGATTTTCTTCTTTAACTTGGAAATACCAGATGCAATGCCCTCTGCCCTGGCTCTGCTGTGCTCTCTCCAGCTCACACTGCTGGTGAGAAACACAACAGGACCTGTGCTGCAATCGCAGGTTAAGCACAGGGCAGTGTAGTTTTTGGCTGAATTTGATGATGGAAAGCAAACAGGCACATCTCCTCAGCCCCAGAAACCTCCCAGCCACCTACCCCTGCCCTCTCTGCAGGATAAAGCCACAAGCTTTATCTTGTGTTCTAATTAAAGCAGCAAAACACAGCCAAAGAGACCATGGCTCTCCCCAAACTCATGTGTAATTAAGGAGAACTCTGCAGTTACCACTGCAGTGTAAATGGTAACAATTGAACTGGATGGGAACTGCAGCACTGAGCTAAAACAACCGCCCAAGATGTCCACGACATCACCAGCGCCACAGGAGAGCCAGCCCTGCTTGAGCGCTGGCAGGGCTGAAGCCCAGCCTTTGTCTCCAGGAAACTTAAGCCAGAAAACCAGGAAGCACTCAAGGTGCAACACAATGCCACAAAACCCTGCCATCTTTCATCTCCTTGCCAGTGCTGTTAAAGTAGGTCAGCGTCACGCAGCTCGGCGCGGCAGTGAGCCCGCTCCCGAGAGCTCACCTCCGAGCAAGGCGGGGGCCTTCTCCAACTGCAGCTGGAAAAGAAACCGGCTGCTTTGAGAAGCCACAGCCAGAGGAGCTGGAGAGAAAAGCTCCACAGGGAGCAGGGGCAAGCTCTGGGACACAAAGGAACAAGGACACCAGGGAACGGACACTGCTTTCAGAGGACCTCCCTTCTGGAGATCCACTCAGATGCTGCCCACCCCAGCTCCTGCCTTCGCTGTCAGACCGCACAGCTCAAAAGCCAGTCCGACTTGGGAGACAACCCCACTGCCTTTCTTCATTTTAGATGTACCTTCCCCACCCAAACTCTAGAGAGCCAAAGGCAGAGTGGTGCTGTCTCGGCTCTAAGCCATCCTTCTGCACTCACCGACTTGTAATCACCCAACCCCACAGGCTGGCACAGCTCTGCGGGGGACAGGCCCATTGCTGCCCCAGCAGCTTTCTCTCCTTCTGCAGCAGGGATCCCTCTGGTTGGTGGGGCTTGTTCCCGGCAGGGTCCCCCCAGAAACTGTTGGGGAAGCTGGGAGGGTGGGAGACCTGAGGTCAGTCACTCATTCGTGTCACCAGGTGCAAAGCCCCTTCCCAAAAAGGTCTGAGCCACATACATGCTTTGACAGTTTCCTTAGAGATAGAAATCTGTTCCTCTTCCATTAAGGGACAGAAACAGCTGCACAAAGTGGCTCCACACGATACAAGGAGAAACAACAGGGGCACAACAGCCTGATCTGAGCTGCACCACCAAATCTTCACGGCCAGCCCTTGCCTCCAGGGCCAGGAAACACCACATTCACACCCTGGGCACACAGCTGCCCCTAGGCAAGCCCAGCCTGCTACTGCTGGACTCCCTCTGGGATGACAAGGTTGAGACTTCAGGATGTTTTCTTGCATGGAAGATGCATTTCACAGCAACAACAGCATTCCACAGGGGAGAAACCCGGCAGAGACTCAAGCCCTCAGGTGTATGGAAAGTTTCCCAATGAATTTGCTTGTATAAAGTTAGACCAAAACACAAACCAACATGAAATGCAACAAGCAGAAGTGTTTCTCTCACACGTACAAACACACACACACAGAGAGTACAGCAGGGCAACACACATTTGATAGGCAGGACCCTGGAAATCCTGTCCTAGCTACCATGGTTTTTTCTTTACAGTAGGTTGAAATACAAAGAGGAGCACAGTGATGGTTCTCCCCTCACCTCCAGTAAACAAAGTTATTGCAGTCAGTCCACCCCAGCTCTGCAGCAGTAACACACTCCAGCAGAGCTGCCCGGGCTGCGTGTGGCTCCCAACGCTGGAACCCAGCCCAATGGCTCTTGTCACACCAGCGTGAGACTTGAGGAAGAAATCACAAACTGACTGATTTCCTTTACAAAGCTTTTCCTGATGCAGCAGCCTCAATAAAGATAAAGAAGTGATGTGCTTATATGCCATGCTGCCGCTGCTAGGCAATGCTATACAGTCCCGGAGCACCAGTTCAGGTCAACCAAAAACACGTGAACTGAGGGACGTGACAGATCCCAACTACAGCCAAACTTCTGCCACAGCCAAGAGCCAGCAGGCAGACCTGCCTGTGGCACAGAGTATTGCAGCTAGACAATCTGTCCTACCCAGCAGCCTGTCACCGGGCAGGAGACCGTATCCTCCTCCCCTGCGTGGTTTGAAGGGAATACCCAGCCCCTGGCCAAGTAGGTTGCACTTGGGCTGGGAAAGGGTTTTGTGAAATCAGTCGGTGAAGAAGCCCATGCTGTGAGCTCTGCCAGGCACTAGATGCAGCTCTCACCTCGTAACTCCTCACTCCCCATCAGCAGAAGGCCCATCAGAGCACACCACCACTGCCCTGCCCAAAAGAACCCGCGTGGGCCCTGCACAGAGCTGCGCAGCACAAAGCGGGTGCCCCAAGCCTTTAAAAACCCAAAGGTAGGGGATCAGACAAAAAAAAAAAAAAAAAAAAAGAGAGAGAGAGAAAAGGTTCAAAAGCATTACTGCTCTCAGAAAGTGCCTTCTGGAAATGTTCCCAGAGCTGGCCTGTCCACAGGGGTAGGACCTAAAAGGACCCATCAGAAATTTCAGGCTCTTACCCTGAAAAGCCAGAGACGTCTGTTCTTCCACACAACAAGGACACTCTGCTCTCCAAATCCCACCTGCCACCTGCTCCCAGGCAAGCTGTGGGAAGCCTGGAGAGCAAAAGGCCCAATCTGCAGCACCTTTGTCCTGCTGTCTCCTTGTAAGAGCATCCCTGGCAGCAACAAGGTGTACAAACTGAACATCAGTGCAGCCAGAGCCAAGCCAACAGATACCCTAAAATCTCAGTCCTCCATCTCACAGGACATCTTGCTGATCAAAGTGGACAGAAAACCTGTCTGGCTTCATCCTCCCTCACATCCCAACGACAGCTTCCATTGTGCACCCTGGGGCTGAAACCCCTCACAAAGCCTCAACCCATGGGCAAAGCCGTGCCAGAGAGAAAGCATATCCTGCTGGGGAAAGGATGTGATCTACCGAGAAACATTTGTGGGGAAGAATATTCAGGAAGCAGAAGTTAAGGACAATGTCCATCTCCAGAGAAGCCCACAGGAGGCTGCCTGCCCTGAGCACCCTTCATTTCTGTTACATTCCTTCCAGTTCCCATGAGGAGAGATCCTGAGTGTTGGAGGACAAGGGTCCTGAAGCCAGGCGGGGCAGTGCAGGAGGGAGATGGCAGCAGGCTCCAGGGAGCACAGTGTGGTCAGGGCAGGACACGCAGGCAGCAGACAGAGCATCCCACGCTACCTCCTGTGTGCAGTTGGACAGATGGACAGGAAGGCAGCTGGACACGCAGAGCGCCTGGCTGGCTCCCAGTCCAGCCACTACAGTGATCTATCACTCCACAGACAACGGCTCATCTTCCTGGGTTTGTTTTTTTCTTTTTTTTTTTTTTTTTTGGCAAATTAATTTTTTTCCTGTTATTTTTTATTTTATTTTATTTTTTTTAGAAAGCATTAAAAAAAATCTGCAGCTGTTAAAAAAAATCCTTTCCCTTTAGAGGCTGGACGAGGTTTTATTGACGGGTAAATAATTGGTGTGAGTATGTAAATAGCAGCGACCCCACTGACATGGTGTCCCTCTGCAGCACAGCCAGCTGTGGGGACATGGTGACTGGTTTGGTTTGGTCATTGTCACAGACCTGGGACACTGGAGTTTCTTTCTTCTTAGTGTTTCCCTAATTCCTGTTCCTGCCCAACCCTCCTCAGGCATCATGTCAGCACAAACACCTGCCTGTCCCCATGGCAGGCTCCATGCTCCAAAGGGGATCCCCTCTCCAGACCTCTCTAGCTATGCAAGTGGTTTGTTTTCCAAACTGGACTGTTGAACTCCCTCCAGACTCGCTGATCTCCCATCCTTTGGCAGCAGGAAGACAGACCGGCCACCCTTTTCTCCTAGAAATATAGAGGGAGGGGGCCAAATGTACAGTAACACACATGATCTTCTGCAAAATCCGTTTGAGCTGATCCACGGCTCCCCCAGCCCACTCACACCAATGAGGTCTCAGGTTAATAAGCAGTGCAGTTATTCAGCTATCTGCTTGTAAGTGGTAGGTGTTCTTGGGCAGGTTGCCTGCTCCTGCCAACTCCCCCACGACTTCATGTTGTCAGCACATCTATATTTAAGACTGGGTTTTTTTGCCTTTGTTTAAAGGGGTTTCCTTCCCTTGTAGTAAACTTAAGAGTTAATAGAAAAAAGTAATTCAAAAGTAATCCAAGCACATCTGTAATTAATTCTGCAGGAGAGGGCAGAGCGACGCGAGTCAGAGTTGGCACGCAGTTCCTGGCTCCTGGTGTGCAGTCCCTGGGACAGGTAGAAGGTCCCTCCGCCGAGCACAGCTAGAAGTTAGATTTGGAGTGTCCAAATATGCAGATGGGAAAGTGCTTGACGTGGGAGGACCACTGTGCTGCCAGCTGAAAGAACTTGACATCGTTCCACTCCACCCCATCGATCAGGACTGCAAGGGAGGGCAAAAAGAGAGGAGAGTTAGAAAATACAGAGGGGAAGTGGCCAACCTGGAGCAGCTTTGCTGGAAATCTCCCTGCAGTCAGCAGAGGGAGGCCTGGCCATGCACTGCTCTGCCTGACTACCCCACCCAGCTGCACACGCAGGGGAAGAAAGGCTCAGGAGTAGACCAAGTTTAGGGAGAACAGCTCAGATTGTTGTTCCAGAATTGCTCACTGACACCAGAGCTCCCCACACTGCTGATTTCAGTGTCATCTGATCCGATTGCTCAGATTTCCAAAACACACTTCATTTTCTTTTCTGGGCAAACGCACTCTTACAGAGATCAACGTCAGCCTCTCCTCACTGCCACTCTGACCAAGAGATCCACGTGTCTTAGAGGGGTGACACGTTCTGTGAGTACCTCTCACGCACACCAGCTTCAGACTGGGCCAGGATTAAGGAGGTGACCCAGGCAGATCCCTCTCTGTTGGAGATTCTCAAGTGAACAGGCTACAGGGATATTTTTGATCCTGAATGCTCAGTTCCAGTGACAGCCACTTCAGGTTTGTTTGCCAGATGAATATATGGCTGCTGCTGTGGCATGTCTGTGTGCCAGTGCCCTGCCCAGAGGAGCAGCCACACTCTCAACCAGCTGCCACCAACCAACACTTGTAACAGTTGTGCAAGAGAAATGGAGAATGAAAGGGAGGGGAATGGAGCCTGGTCCAGCCCTTGTCCTCATCCAGAGCATTGATTCAGAGGAGTTCATAGGTAAGGGAGGATTTTCCCACATCCCAGACCTATTAAAGCATCCCCCCATGCTGGATACATCCAAGCCTGTTCCCCAGAAACACCCCCATTACAATGGCACCAGAGCACAGGGTAGGACACCAGGTCAGCCCTCTGCCTGGAGGACAATCATCTGAGCCTCATCCCAGAGCCTAAGGGGATGCAAGCCATGCACTTACCACGCAGCATGTTCTGCTGATGTTTTGCTGTGCAAATCAACCTGCTGATTCCTTCAATACACTGGCTCTTTGACTCAACCTCCTTGTCTTTTGTTTTCTTGGGCAAAAACATCACTGGAAGAAAAATAAACCAGCACACAGTAAATCTATGCCACTCACAGGAGCTGCACTGACACTTGTTTGAGTTTTTGCATTTAAATATTCATGTCTGAAAATTTTAAGATCCTCTCTTCTTGTCAGGAGTCTGTCAGTGCTGAAGCACTATCACCCATACGCACAGGGGCATCTTAGCCCTAAGTGTCTCTGTGTGACGCATTTCCAGCTCATAACCCAGGCCCCAAAGGGCACCTCCTGCCCCTGAGACACCATGCAGGGAAAACATCTGCATCTGCAGGTCTGCTGCACTGACTGCAACCCAACTGGGCTGGGCTGCACAGACACCTGGAGAGCAGGAGGGGCTACAAACTGGGGGCAGCTGGTGGAGAGGGAAGGCATAAGGGAAGCTAAAAAAGGGTCCAGTTCCCTAAGAACTGTCCAAATGCATGACCAAACATGTACAGACTGGCTCCACAAATGCTGGTGGTGTTAAACACCTCTGCTGCAGGCTGGGCCAGCCCCAGGGAACAATATTTGGAGTGTCTCAGGATTGCTTCTCCCATCAGCAGACACAAAGGGTGCCATCATGGGTGGCAGCTCTGGTACCAGCAGTGCCACATCTGTGTTGGCCCAGGACTGACCTGGCTTCACAGTTATGCACCCATGTCCTGCAGCCCAGGAAGCTCTGTCAGCCTCCTCTCAGTGCCCCCAAAACCCCTGCTTCCACCAGGAGTGACTCCTAGGCTAAAGGCAGGAAGATCTTGTGAAGGACAGCTACTGGCAGCAGAACTTCCTTGCTGCTTCCTTGAAAATACTTTGCCACAGAACTGTTCTCAGTTTCAAAAATATTTCACATTACCAAGGCCAGGAACAAATACAGAATTACTGACAACTTTTGAAATGCCTTTTTTGTTAGTTTGTTTTGAGAAAATAAGCTCAAAGCCATGAGTTTAAGAAGAAGAATAAAAAAGAAAAGAGTTAAACATGAGGCTTTGAACTGGGAGCATTTCTCTTCTACCTCCTTTTGACCCACAAAGTACTCTGCACAAAAGCATAAGAGTCATAGAATTTAATTTGGAAAAGACCTCTAAGATCATCAAATCCAACTGCTGACCTAACGCTGCCAACTGGACCACTAAACGATGTCCCCAGGTGCCACATCTACACATCTTTTAAATACCTCCAAGCATGCAGGGATGGTGACTCCACCACTGCCCTGGGCAGCCTGTTTCAGTGCTTGACAATCCTTCTGGTGAAGAAATTTTTCCTAATACCCAAAGACTCCCCTGGCACAGTCCAAGGCAATTTCCTCTTATCCTGTCCCTCATTACCTAGGAGAAGAGATTGACCCCCACCTTCCTTTCAGGTAGTGATAGAGAGTGATAAAGTCTCCCTGAGCCTCTTTTTCTCCAGGCTGAACACCCCCAGCTCCCTCAGCCACTCCCATATGACTCTGCTCCAGGTTCTGGATCACCCCACTGGTCCTAGAGTGAGGGTGTGTGCAGGGAGAGAGTGGGAGGTCCTAGACTCCAGTTCAGGGGGTTCTCCTGTTTTGTCATCTCACAACAATCTGTGGTACTTGCTGGGCTATTGTCTCCTCCCCCTTTCTTTTTTTCCTTACATGCCTTTTTTATTCTCTGTGACTCTTTTGAGCTGAAGGCTCACAGGATGGGGATATCATCCCAGTAAGCATAGCTCTCCAAGTTTCCAGCACTCTGCCCCCACCTTTGCTCTTTTGGGCTATACCATCTTAGCTGTTCATCTGAAAGAGTGAACACATCCCCTTTTTACAGCACAAAGAGGAACCACCCTTTCAAACTCTATCACCTTATGTAGTCACTTCTCATCTACAGTTAGGATTTCGAGGATAAAAATATGACCAAGGTGCTGTAATGCAGGAGTGACAAGTCAAGCAGCCCTGAAGCAGCAGAACAGGGACAGCAGCACTGCATTCTTGGCCTTGGGCAGCAGCAAAGAGGTGCTGTGCCCACCTTCACCTTACCTTTTTTGTTCTTCTCTTTTGTCACAACAGTCATGGACATGGTTGGAGTGGTGGCAATCTCCCCGCTGGCAGGCAACCTGCTGACCTGGAGGGACCGGAAAGTGCATTTCAGTGTGTTTTTGGTAGTGGAGGGGTCCTTCTTCTCCGGGTCTCTCTTTCTATCCACAGGTGGAGCTGCAATCCAGTAATCCACCTGCAGGCCCATCAACTCAGCACCGAGGCCCTGGCTGGAAGACAAGAGAAGAAGGTAATTTCTTCACAGCTCTCAGCAGTTCCCCCCATCTGTGTTTTTTTTCAGAGTGGCTGGCATTCCTGGTCAAAGGATGAACACCTGGCTCTTCGGGAAATCAGGCAGTAACATTTCACAGCGAGACCCAGCAATTCCCTGAGAGATGCAGCCTGCATCACACTGCACAGGGGCATCAGCTTGGCAGCACAGAACTGCACTGAGCCAAGAGAAGTTGACCTGCTGCACAGTCATGGGGTGAGCAGTGGGAAAGCTTCCTTCCACGATGTGGAATTCAGTGACCCAGCCAGCAAAGGCAACCCCTGAGGTGTCCCAGATCACTTGGTCTTTTGAGCAGGGAAAAGAGGCTGTAAGCACTTGTCGCTGCCTCCTGAGCACTGATGAGTGACTCTGTCCAGGTGCAGCACTGCCAAAATCAACTCTGAACTGGGGTGAGCAAAGACCTGACTTACTTACATCTCCTATGTTCTTGAGCTCTTCCTGCCACCACCTGCTTCCTTTCCAGCTCAGAATAAAACAGGATCTCTACTCTCCCCAGGTCCCTGTTATGGAGGTGGCACGGGATAACTGCCTCCCCCCAAACCCTGCACTTGCTGGGGAATTCCACTGATGGAAAAATGCTCTGCCAGTCCTGTGATGCTTGCTAAACAATGGCAGATTTCAGGATATGCTCCGCTGTTGAAAACTCCCGCGTATTGTGTGGTAACAGTTGTGCATCACCAAAACAAACTGCCAGCCTTTCTTGAGCCAGAAAAGGGAAGATGAGCAACCTGGGAAATTCCAGCCCTTGCCTGCCCCTGCCTCTTGCTCCCTAACCCCAAGGGAACAGACCTATGGCTGACAGCCTATACTTCTTCCTACACAGTGACAGTCAGCGTTGAATAATACACAAGTACTAGATAAAAACCTAAATTTATCTACCAGTCCGTGTCCCCTGTTTGAGAAATGGCAATTGTTAAGGAAGATAAATCTGATCTTGAATGAAATATGCATCCCTCTGCACCACCTGTCTAATAAGAAACTCTCAAGGTTAAACAAGGACATCCTATCATTAGAGTCCTCTCAGCACTTCCTTTTGTTTGCCATTTATTCAGCTGAGAGTCAGATGGTGAGGCTGAGTTCATCTTTGATCAACAAAACCAGGTTTTAGAGTCTCAGGGCAATATTCAGAAGTGAGATTCTTTAAGGATGACGCTTTGGAGATGCTGCTTTGAGTTTAAAGACTCCTTTGCATCACATTTCTCAACTCAGTTGTAAAGACAAAGCATCCTAATGTTCACTATGCCCAAGCAGGATTTTATGTTCCATTCCCTGTTAAACATGTGGCTTCATCTTTCAGTCTGGCCAGGGCAACCTTTACTGGCAGTTTTCTAGGGGTTTCCTCCCTTTACCCCTAAAAATTTCAGCTAAGCCAGAACTTTAATATTATCTATAGGTGAAGTCTCCTTGCAGTTCTGATATACTTTCAGGCACACACATGAATGGCAACTGCAGTTCCACTATGTTACCTCACAACTTCCAGCTCTCCCTTCACAGAGAAAGGGGTCAGCTCCTTCAAGAGTCACTCTGACCTTACACTCACCCAGTCATTGAAAACATGAGAATCATGAGGAATTAGACTGGCTCCCACATGTATTAGGGTCAGTAATTTCTTTGACTATATATGTCCTCAAGAGAATCCAGTGTCAAAGAGAAAATACCAGCATGTGGAAATAACAAACCTACCCAAATGGCTGCCACAATGGTTCAGCAGAACCAGGGTTTCTGCCAGACTAGCAGAAACAAGGCTGCCCCTTGTAGTCCCACTGTGTCTGACCTTGGGACATGCAGCCTTCCCACTGAGTGTGAGATAACCCCTGCCCTCCCCAGCTCCTTGTCAGTCAGCAAGGACATGGTGACTCCAGAGGCGAAAGAGGTGAAGGGGAAAGGTGACAGCTTTGAGTGTTTGCTAAGGATGAAGATGGGTTTTCCTTTAGAGACTCTCTCTCATGCATATGCCAGATAAGCAGCCAAGGGGGCTGTGAGGAGACAAAACATGGTTTACCTTGAGGACGAGAAGCTGCCTGTAACAGATGGTGAGGAAGGGGGTGTGGGGGAGGCTTCTTTCACAGCAGGAGATACAGAAGGTGGGGTAGAAGAAAGGACACTGGAGCTTGAGGGAGCTGCATCATCAGAGTCACCTTAAAAAAAGGAAATCAAACTGTTTGGGTTTGTCTCACAGCCCAGCACACGCACACCAGGATAGCTCAGTCTCCTTGCCCACGCTGCTGCTGCACAGGTTTTGCTCACAGCTCAATCCAGAGATCAGCCAGCCCACCAGTTTTGATGGCCTCCACACTTCAACCACCAGGCTTTCTATGTTTGGGTACAAGGCAGGCACAGACTTTCACACTCCTCTGGGCTCCCCATGCGGCATCAGCTATCCTAGGGTTTGCTCCCAGCTGATTTTAAGCCTCCTGCACAGTCAGAGCCCAGCCCACTGATCTCTGATGGGAATCTCCCCCTGCAACCACTGCAGGGCAGCAGCACTCTTAGAATGCAGTACCTCTGGGCTGATCACTGGGACCTCCCCATTCCATCTGCTTCCACCCTCCACAACAACCAAGGCATTATTCCCTTCACTTCAGCCCTCTGGAATGGAGGGATCACTGTGGCCACAAGGAGTAACCCACAGAAGGGCTGCCCCCACACACAAACCTATGTGTAACCCAGGCCACAAGAATCTGGGTTTAACGGTGAAGCAATACAAGAAACAATGCCAACAGATGAGGGAAACAATAATCCTGACTGGTAGTGTGCATGAAGGAGGAAAAAATAAATTCACATTGACAAAACAGCACTACCCCATATCCATGTGTGTAAGCAGGCAGTATGGTCTAAATCATCTTGCACTGCCCCATTAAAAAATAAAAGGGTCTAAATTTTGCCCATCCTGAAGTGCCCAGTGTAAGGCACATGTCTGAGATTGATTTTATTTGGCAATTGAGCCCAGAGTAGGGAGACAGGCATGAACTTCTGATGAACTGCCTCCCCATTTTGGAGAAGGAACCTCAAACAACCATAGCAGTGAATCCATACCACTGAAAAGACATGAGAAAAAGGGGTGTTTGCACAAATGTCAGTGGAGTTTCCCTGGATGAGAGTGTGGGAATTTCATCTGGCCTGAAGCTCCTTATAAAGTAACAAGAAAAATGGCCTCTCTCAACTGAGAGGGCTCTCATTCTGCAGATAAGCCACTGGGAGTCAAAGCAGTGGAACTGGGAGCCAATAAAATCCAATTCCACCTCACAGCACTCCACAACATCAGCAATGGACAACTTGTTCAGCCTGTGAAGTCAGACTCCCACCACCTGTAGGATACAGAAGGCACACAGGATGCTCATTACCTGATGTTGCAGAAGATTGTTCCACTATTCCAACCTTCACCACCTAAAGGGGGCAAAACAGAAGAGCTCTGTGAAACACAAATCCCCTGAACATCAGGAACCCACAACCCCAAACCTAAGCTCATCAAACCTAAGCAGTCCCTTGGCACTGTCCCTGCAGTCAGAGTAGCTGAAGTAAGTGGAAAAAGTGGACTCTTCTAAGAGCTGGGCAGGTTCCAGCAGTGTCCAGACAAGCAGTACCAGCTCACAGCCCTTCCCTGACCTATACAAAGGACAGCAGAGACCCTATGGAGCTGTTACAGACCTGACACACTGAACAGTTCACCATCAGCCCCAAGCTATGGCAACTACAGTGCCTGTGACACCTGTGGGAACGGGCCAGGGAGGAGAAAGGGACATACATAAATATCCCTTCAGCACTGCTAATTACAGACACGTTGTTTCCACTGCTGAAGTGTGGCCACTTCCAGGGCGCAGCATAGCTGGGGTTTGTTAGGAAACCACAGAAGCAATAAAGTACAGTTTCTGCTCAGAGTTTTCTAAGCTCTAAACAAGGGAAGTGGCAGGCAAAGAAGATAAAACTCCTAGCAAAGCCTCTGGATGCAGATATGGACAAACTACCACATGGACAGGTCAGAACGATCCAAATCACACAGTAATGAGGGTACAAATGTGTGTGGCCAACCACCAGCTAGTACATTAAGATTAATGATAAATGCCACTGGTGATAACTTGTGGAACAGAACATGCTACAAACAAGCTCCCAAGAACACAATATGCCTAGAAAGATAAAATGCCCCTTGGTGATACAAAAATAAGGACCTTCTGTAGTGATCATCTGCTGTGGTGCACAGGGATCATTCCTCTTAACACAGCAGAGACCCTTCTTAAGGTCCTTAAGAAACCTGTATCCAGGGTTAATGTCTACCCTATGTAAATGTTGACAAATGGAAAAGAGCTGCAAAGGGAGTTCAAGTCAATAAAACCTGCTTTAGAACAAGAAATGATGCCACACCATCTGTTTAGTTTGAAAATAGAAGGTCCTTAAGTTCAGACATGACCATGTCTGGACCGCACCTCTGGAGAGAATATTTCTATGGTATGGGATCAAAAAAAAAAAAAAAAAAAAGGACTTCATATTATAAGCAGAAAATTTTGAAGAGTTTTGAGGGTGGGGAGAGGTATGCTGATCTTGGAGAGCTGTCAGGCTTTCTGGTGGATTCTCTGTCAGATCCAGTCTTGGAAAAGCCATCATGAACTCAGCAGTGAGTACTGAGGCTCCCTGAGGCGTTACTGCCTTGGGAGAAAGAGGCTGCAGCTCAGGATGGCAAGTCTCTGTCCAAAGGGCAACAAATCAGACTCTGGAGTCCAGCAGTCATTTGTGCTGTATGTTTTAAACACCAAGAGGATGTTTCAGAGACTGTCTGAACTGGTTGTGAGCAAGAGGAGGCAAGGCAGAAGAGTTAGGCAAGACAAGCAACACAGGAAGCTGCCCACAGCCACCTTAATCTGCAAGCCAGACAGGAATCTTCTCTGGCCTTTTCCTCCTTGCTGGCTGACTGAAGATGCTCGAGTTCAGACACATGGGAGGAACACAAACACATTCCCTTCCCTCCATCCAGGGAGGCCCTCAAGGCCGCTGCAGTTCCAACACGCTTCCATCCAGGAACATGTCAGCAGCCAGCCTCCCTTCCTTTCAGGAAGAGGCACATCCTGTTAACTCTCCTGGACACCGACTGTCAGCACAACGCAGTGCAGACCACGCAGCCTCTCCACCTGCCCCCAGCCCCTTGTGAGGCTCCACTCCCACCACTTCAGAGCCCGGATGAGCAGCAAGGCACTGCCCTGCTCACTTCTGGGTTCCAAGCAGGTTGCAGCTGAGGGAAAGAGCCTCGGTGTTCATGTCCAGCCTCAGACTTTGTGAGACATCTGCAATTGGCCTTTCAGAGTCTCTTTATGTGTGTTTCATGGGGAATTACTGTGTCAGGAACACTTCAGAAGCGAGAGCATGCACAGCACTGATTTGACCCTCATCACCAGCTGACACAGGAAGTCAGTCTGCTTTCAAGGCAAATTTTTGGGGGGTTCCCACTTCCACCACTTTCAGACAATCACGTCCAGACTGGAAAAGTAGTGCTAATGTCAGGACAACGATCATTTTAGAGCAACTTGATAAACACTTTGAGCCCCATTTGCTTACATGTAACACAGAACTAAATCATTCTCAAAGAAAAGCTTTACAGAGCCATGAGACAAGTTTGGGAGCTTCCATGCCCTTCTGGCCTTTTCATATTACTTGGAAAGGTGAAACAGCTGTTTTATAAAAACAATTCTTCACTAGAAATTGCAGTTCATGGGATGGGCAAGATCGAGCAAAGCCATCAGCAGGGAACAAATTGGGAAGATGTGTGTTCTTGGGAATAATGCAGGGAGAGATTCTCACTCTGAGGAGACACATGAGTGAAAGCAGGGTCAGCCTGAGGGCAAGAGAGGCTGAGCTCTTTAAATGCCTTGGGATTTCGGATTAGCTCTGACGACAGGGACACAAACGGGAGTGCACACCAGTCAGCTTAACACAGAGCAGGCAGAGCAAGGCAACCAGCATGCAAGAAAGAGAAGCTACAAGACAGCAGCAAAAACCGTGAAGAGGACATCCAATAACTGAAGAGCAGCCAGGGGATTCCTTTTTAGTTGCAGGTCAATGACTTTGTACCTAAAACTTAATGAATTGAAGAGTTTGATCAAATAAGGGGAGAGAGCTAGAAAAGGCAAAGGACACAGCGCATGAAGCACACGGACAGAAGAACAAACACGGCCCTGCCTAGATACTCTGCAATTGGCCACCTCATCTGGGAACAATTAAAGATAATGACAGGAGGGAAAACTAGGGACTACTATTCCAAATACATGTTCACATAATAAAATGCATTAAATAGCTCTGCCCCAGACTCAAACTTAACAGTGGTATAAATTAACTCCATGGAGGGATGTACTACCCACATCCCAGGAGTGGATGGGGTATTAAGAGGACTGGTTTCTGTTCGTGACATGCACACAGAGGACTGACAGTAGAAGAGCAAATTTGGACAAAACAATCAGCCAGAGCAATGCTGGGCACAGCATCCCTGTGATCAGATTTCCAGGGACACGTCACTTTCACGTCTGAAGTAAACTACACCCTGTAGTTTGTTGAGGGATCTTAGAGGTTTGCTTACATACCAGGCAGTTGCATCCAACCATTGGATTCTCATGCTGATATTCTGCCTCAGAGCACCCAACGGCTTCTGCTCTACTCCAGAAACCAGGTTAAGTTCAGGTTAACACTTACAGACTTATTCTAGTTGACTTGAGACAGCGTAACTACGACAACACTCACCCCGACAAAGGGAATGAACTTCTGTGAAGATTCTTCGTCAGGGCTAAAGGCAAAGAGAAAAGACTCGTTAGCAGCTTTGCTTCCACCCCAGTCACGATACTCACTTTATACGGTGCATTCCAGCATGCAGCAGGGACGGACAGTATGCAAGCGCCAGTCCAACGCTCCTCTCAAGGCCCCCTGCCAGCACGCCAAGAGTCTGCATGGGTGGGGAGGAGCACGCAGCCTACGGCATGTCCCTCGGGGAACAGTCTCTTCCTCCCTCCCTCACGCTTGACAGAGAAACATGCTTTGATGGCATGGCAGTCATCACAGACACACGGCCTCCTACTGCGAGGAAATGGATCTCGGTGCCACAACAACACGGAGAACTGTGCGTTACTTACTAGTCCCCGAAGCGCTCTGCACGCACGGCCTTCCCGCGTCCCACCTTTGGAGCCACGTGCCATACCTTGCACATCCCAGCACCGCTAAAGCAGTTAGCCTGCCACGGGGTTACAAGCCGTGACACGTGGTTACTTGTAAAGCACTGGCAAGGACGTGCTCACACACCCTCCCACACACACACACGCGTGCCCCAGGCCGCTGGGAGCTCACAGTCCCTTCCACAGGCACACACCGGGCAGGTCAGGGCACCAGAGCACACCGGGCAGGTCAGGGCACCAGCCCAAGAACTGCAAACAGCTAAACCAAACCGAACGAGAGGCACGCCATGTCCCAGAAACAACTGAAGACAATGCACACACTTGGAAAGCCCCTCCTGCTCTGGCCCTGCCCGGGATTCAGAAGCCAGAGGGTGGAGAAGGGCCAGCAACAAAGGTCACAGTCAAACCTAGAAGGAACTAGGGAAAGACTCAACAAACACAAGAGGAGTAAGATCGGAGTGAGGAAGGCAGGCTGAAAGGGCCTGCAGAGCCACTGCTCCCTTCGAGGGTGACAGAGGTTAAGATGGACCCACAGGGTAAGGAGCAGGACCACAGGAGCACATCCACATGTTCCAAGGAACTACAGTTCAGTAGCAGAAGTGATTGCAAGGGCAAGACACTCATTTCTCAGTGACCAAGCACAGGAAACAGGGAGGAAGCAGACAAACACTGAGACTTCTCATGTTTCTCTTTCTGTGCATCCCTCAGTGCTCACAGAAAAACCATACAGAATTTAGCTTGTGGCAGCATGACTACTTCAGGAACACAGATGTTTCTGTGCTGTTTCCAGCATAGACTGGAAATGCACCAAATACACAAAGGTTGTCAACCACTGTGTGATTAGCACAGGCTGGACACTTTCCTCTAAGACTCATGGAAAGAATGGCACAGAACTGCAGTGAATGTGACTCAGCCAGAGCTCCCTCCTGGTCCAAAGCAGAATGTGATTTTGCAAACGGCCTCTTAGGCTCAGCTCTTCTTATCCATTCCTAGGGCAAAACATAGGGCTTTACTCCCTTCCTACCTCACAGAGCCAGGCACTGCACCCCTTCATTCTTCACCCAGGACAAAGTGACCAAGTCCCTGATTCTGTGTTGGAAGGCAGAAAGGTCACATCTTTGCAAACACAGCTGCAGGCCCCCAGCAAACACATCTCCTGCAAACATGGTATCCCCACCTCCGGTTTTGCAAAGGGAAATGAGAAAACCACTGAGCTGTTGGGAGCAGCACAGAACAGAGGTTCAGCTTTCTTCTCGTTCCTTGAGCTCCATGGGCTGAGAAGCAGGCAGAAAGCGAGTCCTGCTGACCAAGTGAGGGAAGCACAATAGTTGCCCAGTCACGGCTCAGCTACTTATAGCTTTACTCCGAGCTCTCAAAAGACAAACCATGCCCAATTCCAGCAGAAAACTCATTCTTGTTCCCCTTGGGAGCTCTGACTCCCGCTGTGGAGAGCTCAGAGGCAATTCTGAAATAAATCATGGCTTCAGTCACCATTTATCACAGCTCACAATGATGCACAGGCTGTTCCTGAAGCAATCCAGCTGGATTTCAGCTCAGCTAGCCTAGTCCTGTCACACGTCCTCTTGAGAACTCTGATCTTGCACATGTACCTCTGAAAACACAGCTTTTCAAAACAGTTGCTCTTCGTGTGGATGAAAGGAAAGATGAGATGATCGTGCTTGTTCTCCACGTCCTCTTTCATGCTCTTTCACAATTCTTGTTCTTCAGGATCCCAAGATCCCACAATATTAATCCAGAATCCTTTCACTTTCGTAACAGCCTCTTCAACTCCTCCTACCACAGCCCTGCAATGAAAAATATCCCCTGTTCCTGGAAAGGCAGCTCCCCCTTATTACCTTGGCTGCACAGATTACCAGGCTGCAGAGCTTTAACCCCACAGCCATATCCAAGGCTTTACTTTTACCCACAGGGCTTCTGAAGGTCCTGGTGCCTCAGATGTAATTTAAAGCCAGACCTGACCCTGGGTTGTGATTTCCAACAGCGTTATTGATATTTCACGTCTCTAATTCTGGGGGAAAAAAACCCTCGTACAACAAAAACCACAAACCAACAAATTCTAGAGGACAACAAAAGCCAGAGAGGCTAGAAAGAAAATCTTTATCTGGATTTTGGAGCTGTCTCATTACTATTCTTGCTTGGGCAAAATCCATCTACCTGTAATCAGTGCCTCAAAGGTAGCCTGGCCAGAAATGGACTTGCATGCTCCCTCCCTACCCCAAGAAATTCATTCAGATTAAGACATATATCCAGATTTATGTTTTAGCACTCTTAGAAAGGAGAAGCTGTACCACCAGGAGTCAGTCACCTGACAAACAGAAGGAATAACATCTTTCAATGTACAAGCTAAACTGCAAAGCACTTGGATATTACAGTAAGGGAGACTGAATTACCACTTAGAGCAGTTACACCACTTATTAGCCTTCTAGTAAGATTCCATTTAAAATTTAAGCAATCCAAAACAGATTCAAATGAAGCCAAACACCTGTGATTTTGTAGCAGGAGGGTCTCAGACACTACCTTTATTCCAGACAAGTCCTGAAGCAGGGCAACAGGAAAGGGGGGACTTTTATCACCTCTGAGACACTTCAGACCAGGCACTACCAACAACTGCCCAAGGTTTACTTTTGGTATGAAGCATTATCACCAGGCAGGTGCAGCTGTATGCTGGCCAACACTGTCCCAGTTCCACCAAGTCTCCAGTGGTCAAGCCGAAAAAGGGACAAAGCAACTCCAGGTCCCCACGACACATCAGACGAGTCACCTCTCAACCTTCCCAAAAGCCTCCCATACAGCACTCTTCACATTCCTACAGAGAGCTGGACATATTTAACAGGACACCCAGCCTTTCCCGAGCCTTGATTCTCCTCTGCTGCACTGCTTGGCCAGGCCAAGGGCACAGTGAACTCCTGCTGTGTTTCCATCAGCTGCCCGAGGAGGTTCCTAAAGCAACCAGATGGATGACATGGGCTCTGCTGAGCCAGAGGAGAGAACAGGGCCATCTTTGGACTTGATGATCTCGGAGCTCTCTTCCAACCCAGTTAATTCCATGATTCTATGATTTACCAGCTGCGTTCATGTTCAGCGACTTTGAGAAGCAGACCTCAGAGCAATGACCCGGACTCTGCAGAGCCTCCAAGACACACAGCAGGCAGAAAGCAGTGTTACCCCTGCTTCCTATTGGCCAGGAACACTCCAACCCCAGGCAACTGTGGGAGCAAAAGCTGGGAAGTGCTCTACAGGAAGAGTGAAGAGCTTTTGGTAAACCAGGCAGGAAATGACCCAGCCTTTGTCCTGCCAAGTGAACAATGCTTCCATTTCCAACAGCAAGCTGCTTCCCAGATTCATGCAAGGGCTATCCAGAAGCCACATGGCATGAGCTGTGCTGGGCACTGAATTACAGTGGGTGACACCAGCCCAGGCTCACAGAGCTGATCAGCAATCCAGCACCGGGAATGAGTGTCTGGTGAGCCTCAGATCTCAAATACCACAGTGTCTCTTTCAGGAAAACAATCAACATCAATGAGACACCCCTCCCAGTGAGAAGCCCACCTCACCACCATGGTCCCAGCACCCCAGATGATGCCTGGGCTGCACTGTTCCTTGACAGTTCCGTAACCAGTACCCAGAGCTCACAGACAAAGTCAGTCACCCAGTGTAACACAGAGGAGCTGCAATGGCAATTCATTTCCTTCTTGAACCTCCCCCTTCCTCATTGCCAGCCCCCCTGATTTCAGGTAAGGTCAGCAGATGCTCCAGAAGAACAGGACAAAGCTTTGGCACCATTGCAGTCCATCACAGGCAGCACATGCGCCAACCTTTCGCCATGACAAACAGAACAAGGGGACGGGAGGGAGAGTGGAGGGAGGTCAAAATAGGGATAGCTGGCAGTAAAGTTATGAAGCAGCTCATCACATACAGCTACGTCCTAAAGACTGGCTTGGCTTTCCTTGGACCACTAGGACTTGTTTAACAGAGCAAATGCTAGGATTCTGGGAGATTTCTCTTGCAATGAATTTGTAGGTAGTGCTGCTATTTCTGCATAGACCACTGCATCAAAAGCTGGACTTGGAGAAGCCATTCGCCTCTGGCCTCAAGGGAGAGGGAGCTGCAGTAACTTTGTGAGCTGAGAATGAAATAACCAATGCCCAATTATCATATGATTTGAAGGATGGGACCCTGCAGAGCAAGGGGGTCTTGGAGGCAGCTCAGAGAGCACAACTCCACTGCTAGCACACATCTGTCTTCTCTTTCTTAAGCTCAAAGAAGTCCCATACATTTGGGATAGCCTACCAGTAAGAGACTAGTCTTTACTTTTTTTGATTACAGGGAGGAGGTTTGCTGGTCTGCACTCAGACACTGCACAGCTGAACCCCACCCTGAGCCACTGAGTGCCACCTACAGCACTCCAGTTCTAACAGATGGGAACTGAAAAGCCTTTTCTCAGTTCTGATCCTTTTGGGGCTACACAGTATCCGCTGATAGCCAAGAAAAAGGCAAGAAAAAACCATACCTTCTCCATGTTTTACTGCTCAAACCTACTCTCTCAGTAACTCCTTCGTTCCCATTCAATTTACATGCTGGGAACCCAAATGTGTGGTCCACAGGCACAGCAGTCACTTTCAGTTACACATTCTGCCAGCAGATGCCATGGTTTCAAAGCAGTGAGCAGAATTTAACCTAAAGCACAAACTGTGCATCCCAGATCCGCAGGAACTGTTAAACAAGGCACAAAAGACCAGTTCACTGGGAAAAGAGATAGGAGATGGGAGAGGGAACCTAAAAGGAACTGATACCTTAAGGTAAAATCAAAATGAAAGCTCTTTTTCCTTTTCAGGAAGCAACCAAAGAAAAAGATAAATGTGTTATTATACTTACAACAAAGTGATGCATTCATTTAGATAGTGCTAACGGAGACACAATTTCTGTGTTGTTTTTCACAATACCCTCCCCTAAGCTGCTGCCAATGAGAGAGACAGGCATTTCTAAAGGAAGGCACACCGGGAGACAACTGCCCATGCTCCATGGGAGAGCCTGTTCCTCTGACTCACTCTGGTTTGCTCACGGGGTACTGACCTGAACCCAGTAGTTATTTTAAAGGGGACACACAGAGACAGTGAGAGATTGCCAGCTGTGCCAGTCTGACTACGAGTCTCAGCCACCTCTCTTCCCAGTAGCCTTCTGCAGGGTTTGAGCCTGACTTAAACCTATCAACAGCTCCAGGCATGGCACCAGAGTCCAAAGGATGTAAAATCCAAACGGATCAGACCAGCCTGCCAAAGCTGTCACACACACTGCTGGGAGGACTAAGGGCATGTGTTGCTCAAGTGCATTTCAGATGCTTTTCAACAAAGTACTGAATCGAACTTTATGGGCACATTAGAAACTCAAAATTATTAAATGTGTTGTTAATGACAAAAACTAATCTGCAACAGAATGGAGGAGGCAGTGGAAACCAGTGCAGAACCCAGCAACCACAGGGTGCAGAGAAAGAACAAGGCCGCCCTGAGAAGGGGTTCACACTGCACTAGGGGTGTCTGATCTCCCTGCTGGTAACTAGGCTAAATCTTCAAACCAAAAACAAAATGGAAAATTGAAGACAAGAGCTTCAAGTACCCTGTGGCTCTTCAAATTTCATTCTTGTTATCACATTAATTTTGCAGAAGTTCACAAATACATGAAGAGACCGGACTAGTCTCTTTTACTGGACTAGTCATTCTGGAAATATTTTCCCTAGGAAAATATGTAGAATGGGCAGAATTTTCCTGAATCATTTGTGCAAAGTGATGTAAGAACAGACACAGGAATGGAAAAGCAATATAAAATAAGAATTTCCAAAAAGAGGGAAAAAAGTTACTCTATCCACACTTTTAGTCCCTCACAATTCTTAAGCAAAGGAGATACCAATGAGGGACGTTAATGGACCAAAAATGAAAAATCAAATAGAAGTAATTAACAGTTAACACCATCCATGCCTCATAGGAAATTGCTAGTCCCTAACTGAAGAAAATCACATGAGCTGAGTGTTTGTCCTACTCTTGGAAATTATTAGGATGGGAGTTGGAATCTGTTATTCTATCTGTCCCTTGATAACAATGCTTCTCTACCCTTCAGTGACAGTTACCCCTCTTCCTGGACCCTGGCCATGTGAGGCTCTGCATACTCCTGCTCTTGGTTTCAGACCCCAATTATCCCTTCTGCAGGCTGCTTATCCCTTAAGAGAAAACGTGGTCAACGTCAGCCCTCCCCAGAAGGAGTCCTGGTAGCCTGCAACTGCCAATCAACAAGGATTTTGTCTCTTCTGTGAGAAGCTCTGCTATTTACACTCCAAAAAGAAAGGGTTTCAGGTCCATCAACGCTGATGTAAAAAGGTTAGATCTCATAGGAGTTACTTTGAGGGGGAATGCTGAGGTCCAGTCTTACACACCTAAGGTCTCTGTGGTCAGAGATCTCCAGAACCTAAGTAGATATAATCTGTCTGTCCCCCATCCTCTTTAGTCCCCACTTCTCCAAACCTCTCACATCTTCAAGAAAATCACTGCACTTGAAGTAACCCCACTGTTGTAGACTGACTAAGCGGGGCACATCACTGGGTGCAGGCTACCATAAGGCTCCCAATGGTTTTGCCATTTGGAGTGATTTTAAGACTGCTGGCACATGGGATGAGAAAAGCACTCTGTTTTCAAGCACCTGCTCACCCTGGGAGCCAGTATGACAGCAGTGACATACCTTTTCTGTTTGTATGTCAGCATGGCTTCAGCAATGGGCAACTGGTGTGCACAGTTTGCCCCTGCTATGTACTGCGTTATCCGTGAGACAACATCGGGCGCCTCTGGAACTGCAAGAGAACAACAAAGCAAAGCTTTTAAGTGACTTTTCAGACCATCACCACCACTGTCCTCCCATCTGCTGATGGTACCCTGCCATCTGCATCTGAACTACATCTCCCACAGGAAGCTCTGGTTACTCCAGAGCACAGCAAAGCTGTTCAACTGAAAGCAAACATCCTAGGGGAGCATTAAGGTGAAAACATTGGGAAGGAACACTAAGAACGTAAGTACAGACATCTGCACACAGCGGCACTGACTGAAGTGTCGTGGGTATTTTATAGTGGTTAAAAGCTTTTCTTTGAAAACATGTACCTGCCCAGAGTCAGATTAAGGCTTTTTCACACCTTGACTGCAGGTACCTGATGAAAAAGTGCCTGGCCACCCCTCCCAGGTGAGCTGCTCTGCTCACACCAGCATTCAGTGACCTGAATTCCTAATGACCTCAGGGCCCTGCTGAGTTAACTGAAAAAACTGAGACACATGCAAGGAGAGGAAGAGTACAAAGATCACATCTATGGCAAAAAATATACTCCAGAGAGGTGAGACTGTGCTTGATTCAAGTTGACAGGAAGACATTTCCTAAACACCTTCCATATTTCTTCGGTTTCAGGTGAAGACCCTCAATGGGGATCACAGGAATGCAAGTGACCGTCACCAGGCACTTCCATACCTTATCAATGGGCATTTTAACCCAGACTCTTTGTATTTGAACAGTGAACTGTTAAGAGCTACAATTCTCTGCCAGATCTTCTTATGCCATCACAGGGTTTCTGTGCAGTTTCCACTGCACAGATGAAAACGCAGAATGTACAAGATCTGGACTGCACAAAAATAAATAAGGGTTGCAGCATACAACCAGTATAGGAATTAATTCACTAAGGAACAGCTATGGCTCTCGGGCTGGATTTCTACAGTATTATGAAGCATTCCTAACCTAGACACAAAAATCAAGTCTGTACTGACATTTGTCTGCATTTTCAAGTGCAGTAAGGAATTAAAAGAAACCAATTCCATACACCTGTTCTTCCCTAAGTTTAGAATCAAGGAAATGTGTAGACTGTGTTTCTAGTCCAGTCTCCTGCTCAAGCAGGACTAACTTCACCTTCAGAACAGGCTGCCCAGGGCCTTGTCCAGCCACCTTCCCATCTGCTGAAAAAAGCAGATTTACCCGTGAAGAGGTCTGTCTCTCCTCCTCTCATGGCTAGAGGACTTCCAGGAGCATCCTAGAAGTCTCAGGCACTGCAATTCCAACAGGGAGAGCCACACTGCAACCTCCCCACACTCACGGTGCTCCACAAACTCCAAAGCTTTTTCCTTCTAGTGAAATTTCTGTATGGGCTATGGTGCCATGACAGCATCAAATCTCAAGCTTTCATGTAGCCCTAAATTTCAGATGCAAATCCTCCTCTCTCCTGTTTCTTTCCATTCTTGAAGAAATTGATGAAAAAACTCTAATTTTTTAAGCAAATGAATACTTTAACATACAGTAAGGCTTTAACCTGGCCTAGAACAGCCTCAGATGAGAACAGGACCTTGTTGACCTGACCTAGGGCAGCTCCCACTTGTTACCACACGATTGAAGAACAAAATTCTTTAACAAGAAAGGTCCTGCCAGCAGACTTCAGACCATTCTCACACACAACTAAGAGAAGTTCATCTTCCCAGAGTTTCCAGTTTTCCAAGTCTTTTAGGTTGTACAGTTTCTGAAGGAAAGCAATATACTGAACTTGGCAGTGAGATGTCTGCATCAAAGAACAAAGCTGAGAGCCAGGTAAGAACAGCGTGACTCAGAGGCAGCGAGTCAGTGCCTCTGGGAACCAACAACTCTTTGCAAACCGCCACGTGAAGGGCTTACAAAGGTCAGCATCTGAAATGGGAATGTGGTGAAGCGAGGAGAAAAGAGGAACAAAATCATTTGTCTGCTTCCTCTTGTATTTACTTGATCTTTGCTAAAATTACTCATTCAAACTTTTCATCCCACACAGGCCAGACACAGACACATGGTCTTACCAGTGGTCTGTGCTTCAAGTTTGTTGAACAGATCTCTCCAGGCTAGATCTTGGAAGAAGTTGTTGTATCTATAATCTACAGACCCCAGATACTTGGCCACTGGATGAGAGCCTAAGGAAGAAAGGAAAACAGGACAGTTGTTCTTCTCAGCACTTCACACAAGCATGATTTTTATCTGTAAGGAATTAAACTCCAAAATCAAAATTCCACTAGACATCCCAGAAATAAACTTCTTCAATTATAACCAAGTAATTAAGTCCAGCTTATCTCTACAAGAGCATGCAAACAGACTTCCCAGCAGAGACTGCTTCAACACACTGATATCCTTCAGCTGACACTTCCCCCTTCACCCCAACAAATTAAATTTTAGAAGGCCAAAGAAAACGGGACTGGGAAACTGCTGAGGAAATAAATGATGTGGAAGACACGGAGGCCCTATGACTCTGCTTCTCAGTCTCTCAGCTTTGCAAGGGGCTTTCCCAACCAGCCCTTCCTGCCCACAGACTGCACCACACACATCGTGGCTGGGTCACCTCCACCAGGAGGAGCCAGACCTCTTCTTCCCAACACCATTCACACACCACGGGTGTTTTGCAATACTGAGAAGAGGCAGTCGCCCTCAGCCAGGAGAAACAACCCAGGGAAGGGCTATAAGCTCAATAAATACGCTCCAATTAAAGACAGAAGATGGAGTCCAAGGATTACGGTCCCCAGTGAATGCTGGCATATGCATCGGGTCCCAGCTTGCTCTAGCTAAGCCCTGTGGCTCAGCTCCTCTATGAGCATGGAAAGACCTCCTTGCAGAAGCTCTGCGTGTTCAGCCTCCAGCCTGAAGCCCTAGATGGAAATCTGACTTCATACTTACACTGAGGAGGAGAGGGAAGGTATTTGAGTGACAAACACTGCCCTGGGAGGTGTTAAATTTTCATTTTAGGCCACCTGTGTCTCTAAAACAGACAGCACCCTCTTGCAACTACCTCTCCAGTCTTTGCCCACCAGAGAAAAGGTGTGCCAGGATCACACTTCCCAGTCACCACATGGCAGTCGTGCTCAGTATGAGTCCTGTACACTTACAATCAGCCACGAAGCAGCCTCAGAGTTCCTCCTGATCAGGTTATTTTTATCTTTCCTGCGTACCAAATCCTCACATCTTCCATTCTCACATCTCACACTTCCAGAAGCTGCAACAGTTGAGTCACCAGCTGGTAACCGGTAACCTGACAAATTCTCTCGAGGAGACCCCAGTTGCTTAACCACACTCACTGTGCTCCAGTAAAGACTACGGTGGAAAAAACCTGCTAATTTCCAAGAAAAAGAAGTGCTAATTTCCAGACCTCCAGGAAAGGTTCAAGCAGTAGGTCTCTCTGAGCTCCCCTCATTGTCATTAAAGACTGGGGCCTAAGTCCTTTCCTGGCCCCTCCTGATCATGGCTACTTTCACACCCATCATTGCTTCTGCAGTGAAGTTTTATCAAACAGCTCTGCACCATGCACTGGAGAAGCTTTCCCATATGCTGGGAAAACTCATTGCACATGGTAGATGCAGTTGGAGACAAGTGAAAAACAGGAGGTTTCCCAAGAAGTTCTCCCCATGGAAGCTAAATAACATGTTAAGATAGCCCAAACAGCCAAAATAACCCCCAACCTTTTAGCTTATTTTACCTGCCCCTTTTCAGTTGTTTATACAGTGGTTTGGACACCAAAAGAGTCTTCCAGCCATAAAGTCAGTAGCACAAAGCAGGACTGAACCTCCCAGTTGCTTACAGATACTAAGCATTTCTCATTATTAATAAACCACTGCCATTGCAGAGTGTAGTTGTGGATTCAGAAGGTAAAACCACCCTAGGAAATATTCCAACATCCCTAGTTCAAAAGTATTGACAGCAGCAGAGAGGCTTTTCCTTTAAGATATTTATGGCTCGGTCACCATTCTGTCTTTGGTGGTTTTTCAATTGTCAGAAATGAGAGGCTGCTCCTCAATCACTTTAACGAACTGCCAGAAAGCTGGCCAGAAATAAGCTCTTGATCCGACCAGGAAATACTGCAGACTTCTATGGAAAAGGCCCTGTTAGAGAATTTTCTATATTTAAAGTACATTTTAAAAGGATTCACAGTTCTGAAACAGTTTCATTATCAAAGTGTTTTGTTAATTTTTTTCTTTTTTTAATTACAAAACAAAGTTTTGTGACTAAAAAGCCAACCCAAACCCACACTAGCTAAACCCTGTGTTTCACTTCCAAAGAAAGAATATTTTCAAATCATTAATGACTGCAGGACAGAAAACTCTTCTTCTGAGGCCAGGAGACAGTCAGCAAGTGAGGATCAAAGTCTCAGTCACACAGATTCTCATTCAAAGCACATCGAACCTTGCAGAAAATATTTTTTGTTTTCAGTCCCTAAAGGGCTCTCTCTTCTCTTCCTGCCAACCACTTTGGAAACTAAATGCCTTCCCTTACAGAAGGATCCAACTCTCTTCTGCCTTTTTCATTTGACTTCTGCAAATCCTACCACTGAATTAGCAGCCTAACCCCACTGTTCATGGTGCTGGACCACCAGCTTCTGATTCCCACAAGAGTTGCCTGGAAGATTGGAAAACACAGAGAAAAAGGCTTTTCAAGTTTTCTGAAGCCTACATCACCCAAGTGCTCTGTTCACACAAGCCAAGACTTGGACCAGACCAGCTCCTGGCCTCACACCCTTACCACACACCAGCACTGCCCAGAGGTCCCTGCCCACAGCACTGGCGACTGCCTGGCTTCCCAGGCACTGCCACTACAACGTTCCTCACATTTCTGACTAGGACAAGACCCTTAATGCTGTTATCAGTCCACTCTATTTACTTCAACACAGGCCACTGAAGCTGGGTAACCTTCCAGGCAGGCAGGCTTGTTGAGCTGCTTAAAGGGTAGAGATAAGGTGTGGGAAAACTGAGGGAAAAACCTGAGGAGAACAGCACGTAAAGGAAAGGGCAAAAGATGTGCATAATTTGAATAACTAAAATTCTCAGCAGTTTCAGAGCCTTTTAAAAAATTTTCAACCCCTTCTCCATTGACATTTTTTGAGTCAGGCTCACGGAGGCCAGAACAGTTATCACTGTGGGAAACATGGTGCCCAATGAATTTAAGTTTGGCCAGGGAAAGGGCTTCTAGGACATTATTCTGTGCATTTACTGTACTGTGATAAAAAGATATATAAGGATCTCCCTGTATGGAGAAGAAGTGCTTAACCCCTTGCTTCAAATGAAAGGTTTACAAGCAGATTTTGGCATCAAGAACATAAAGATGAAATTCACTCATGCAAGAGCAGCGACACCAGCATTACACAATAATACAAAAGTCTGCCTCATTTAACACCCATATACCTATAGCCAAAGCTTCCAGAAAGGCTTCTCCTGAGGGAACAAAGCACATTTAGCCCATTCATCTTTCTATGAAGAAAAACTGTTCCTTATTTACCTAGAGGGATGATCAAAAATCTCATGTAGCCGAGCCAGTCGGGAGTTTTGTGAGACAGTTGCTCTACAAAGAGCCTCAATACAGCACTGAGGTAATTCTGGGCTCCTGCCACTGCAATTTTAATTGGGTTTGGAGGCTGTGAATTGCAGTTACAGCTAGACAGAAAAAGAGGAAATATATTTGTAAGTGTGCTTTCAACCACATATTTCAGACCAAGTAACAAAAAAAAAAAAAAAAAAAGTTAATAACAATTATGGTAGAACAGTTCCTTCAATACAAAAGGCAATATCACAATGATAATAAGCAGCGTAAAACATTATTAATAAAATACAACATTTTTTTAATTGGTCTCCTTGCTTCTTCTTTCACACATTTGATCATCTAAGGGGTTGGACTCAACTACCTAAGTTAGGATGTACCTACTGCTACTAACTGCTGGGTCAGAGAACACCCTCAGGTACCCACAGCCATCACTAGTATAACTAAGGAGTGCCTTGAGGAAATAATCTGGGAATTACTTGGAGGAGGAAGCAAGAACTATTTTAAAAACACTTTTTAGTTTTTCATGCTTTACTGCTGCATGTGTCTGACCTGTGAGGCAGCCTCCAAAGCACAACCTTTTATGATCAGTGGTGTGGGTGACTTGCATCCCCACACACATGGCAGAACAGGAACAACTTTGCAGGGTTGGTGAGAGCTGAAGAGCCACACAATTCTGACCTCAGGAGTGCAGGTTGGAAGAAGTATGGAAAGGCAGAAGTTTCATCCAGTAGTTGAGAAATAAACTCCCTGGGGCACAGGAACCGAGGGGCTTTTAGAGCTGAGACAAACAACACAAGCAAGGTGAGAACTTACTATCTCTGTATCCTGGAGACAATAGTGCTGAAAGCTGCCTGAATATCAGCGGAGGAGCATGTACAGACCACTGGCAACGTGTGCTTTTGCAAGACATCTGATAGGTACTGAGGAGAGAACAGAACATTTTATAGTCCTTTTATTGGTATAGTTTGCCACAAGAAGAAAATGTGCCTCCCCCCACCTGCTAGGTCTTCTCATACCCAAACTTGGGCACTCTCCTTGTGTATGATTTGTAAGCGATATGGTTGTTTCTCAAACACCTCATCCTTGTGCAGCAGCCAAAGGAAAGCTTTTCCTCTAAAAAAATGGAAACACCTTCTTGACAGACACCAAGAGCATATTCCAAACATGGCATCAACAACTCCAGAACAGCACGGTTTTTATGGCCACAGAGGGCAGGGCACCAGCAGAAGGCTGTTCACTTAGCAGACAGCACTGAGTAAGAGCAGTTACTGTCTACCTGCCTGCTTCTAGAACTGCAGTTGCATCTCTCCCGAATTTCAAAAGCATTTAAACAAATGCAATGTTCTGCCCACCCCTGAGCACTGAAAAAAAGAGATGGGTGCTACCACCATACATGTTCCTCATGAGGGACTGTTTCCTCTCCATGCAGCTAATAGGGAACAATACACAACTTGGGGTACACATGGACATAATTATGGCACTTAGCAATTATCTCACACTTTCAAATTCTGTACGACTAATCTGCACAACCCAGCCAATGCTAAGTGCATGTCACCTGACACTGCAGGCACAAGATGCCAGAACCACTGCAAGATGACCTACAATGCTTTCTGTTCATCTCTAGAAGGCATTTCTCTGTCTTCCAAGTAGAGAGAAACTGTAACTAGTAGCTCAGCTGGTATTTTTGCTCTCTCACACATTGAGACCCTAGTTCTTCCAGAAGCAGAAAGCCAAACCAGACAATGTAACTCCAAGTGCCTGGCATAAGTTCTCCAGGCGACAGTCACACAGCACATGTTTATTGGTCCTCTTCCATGCATAATTTATTGCTTTCTCAGAATAAGGTTCCAAAAGAAGAAAAATGTGTTCCAAACCTGTAACAAACCACCCCTTATTGCCAGCAAAAAAATGTAGTGCTCTGGGTTCTCCTTAACAAAACTATCGCTCAGAAAGGACAGGGTGACATACCTGCAGTCAGGGATCATGAGTGCACGTGCACAGCTACAGAGCTGACCCAAAGTATTTTCTCCTGCGTTCAAAAATCTCAGCCTAAACCACAGGTCAGACCTCCCTGCTGCTTTTGTTCCATTCTACCACACTTTAGAAGAAGGTTTTTAAGTGCAAGGGTCGAGCCGCTCCCAGTGTGCCACTAACCAGAAGGAATGGCATTTTACAGAAGAGAAAACACCTCTGTGGAAACATTCAGGTGGCAAAAGCTTTACAAGACCCACAGCATCTCCTGGTCAAATGGAATCCAACCTGCAGGCACTAAGCACTCAGCAGGCTGCCAGCCCCCACGCACCACCACTGCTCTTCCAACCAAGCAACAGAACCTACTTGGTTAGTGGTAGAGCTCAAGGCCTGTCCATTCCTGAGGAGGAACAGCGCAGGAGAACTGTGCTTCAGGTAACGTCTCCTGCCTTTACCTGGCCTTGCCAGTCAGATGTATTGACAAGAATAATGTTTTCTGGCAGCTGGTCGTCGGAAACCAGGATGTGATTTAGTTGATCATACACTGTTTTCCTGGGGATCTGGAAATAAAGACAGGGAGGAGAGAGAACAGTAGAAGATGTCACCTCTAACCATCAAGCCACCAGCTCTAGTTCCTGCAATTCATGAGAGGTGGTTGTGCATGGCTGGCCAGTCACCCCATCAGCAAAGGCACACTAGAAGCACATTACTTCTTCTGCCATGCACTTTTACTAACATCACTTTATACCAACTAATAGTAGCCCAACAATTTAGGATGCATAAAAGCCAGGAACAGTCTCCTTCAAGGAGGGAAATAAGTGAGTCCTGCAAGCTAATAAAAGCATTGCACATATGCTGTGCACAAGTCAGTCCCCTACTGCAATCCCTAGCAATCTGCCTTAGTTCAAAGGAGTAATTCCTCAACACATCCCTATTCATTTCTCATTCTAACAATCTGTTCCAGTGTTTTCAGTTTATGGCTGGCTGACAAAACAACAAGCTGGCAAATCCCAGCAGATTGGATAGAAGATGCAGTTTTAGCCAAGACATAAATTCCCTCTCTCCTGAAGCTATAGGGCCCAGTTCCTTTCCAGTAGGGACAGAACTCAGACCAGAAGGAAAAGGACCACAGGAGACAGCTGGAAAAGAGGAAAAACTATGGTGGCTGGAGAGACAGCAATCTTTTTCACACCTGTAAGTGGTGGCGGGTGTCTGGAGAGCGCTCATTGTCCAGGCTGTTGGCTCTCTCGTTCTGTGGCCTCACTGGCTGCCTCTCCTTCAGAGACGTGCTTCTTCCCCGACGCCCCGTCTGCTTCCCTTCAGACCTGCTGGAGAGATGTGCTTACATTCCAGAGCTGGCTCGTATCTGAGTGAGACCCACTTCCCAAATCCCCAGATCTCCCAGTCTGGCAATCTCAATAATGTGAGTAAAGGCACTGGGGAATTGTGGACATAGACCTGAATTAGCTTGAGACCTGTTAGTTCTGCTTCTGGTAGTGCAGAGTGCATGGTTCAGCTACAAAGCACGTTCCCAGAAGTCCCAGGAAGACTTCCACAGCCCATGCTTAGACCCACACCACTGCTCTGCTACTGCTATGCCAGCATAATAGGATCCAGCCATGATAACTGCAGAAATCACACACAGAAACACCTCCAAAAGAACATCTATTTACTTGCAAACCAGAGAAACTATACAGTTGGATTGCTGACGCCCACATTCACTGTCCTATTTGGGAAGGTTTAAAGGTTAGACTTGACAACAGCTTTCAGGCCAAAATCAGCATCAGATATTGACTCAGCAACAGAGTCAACAGAAAGCAGCTCCAGAGTTCTATAAAATTTCCTTGGTCATGGAGCAGGTACAACACAGGAGACTGAAGCAGCCTCAGAGCAGTGCTGCCCTTCAGGGTTCTGAGCACTCATTTACCAAGTGCTCAAGACCCATCATTCAAATGCCAAAACACAAGGAGGATGTCCCTGCAGTCAATGGCATCATGACCCAATCCTAGCAGGCTGTCCCTGGCTTCCTGAGCAGCCCTGCAGCAGGCACAATGCTGACCCCCCTCTCTGTACCTGGTGGACGGGATGATGAGGGACTCTGTCTTAGTGATCTTCCCGCTGGGTGGGAGCTTCTCAACAAACACATCTGGTGTGGGCAGTTCAGCCTCCTGGACCTCAGCTTGCTGGTTAGACTCCTGCAAAAACACAGGGAACAGAGTTACCAGGAACAAACCCTCCCCTCTTCTCACCTGGAGAGCTTCGATCTGGCTGGGGCACATTGAGCCTGCCTCCTCCAGGCATGCCACTCACTGCCAAAAGGGAGGAGTCAATACTGGCTATCTGGGGTTACCAGTTCCCAGCTCTGCCTCACAAGGGAGCTCGAGGTAGGAAAGGTAGGATGCTATTTGGAACAGGCACTCTCCCACTAAAAGCCAGGGACATGACTCCTCCTGCAATGCAGATTAATTCAGCTTACCCAAATCAACTAGCAGAGAGAGAAAGACATGGGATAAATGTTACACACCTCATGTCCCCAGGAAAGCAACCTGAGCTTCGGGATTTTTACCCCAGGACCAGCTTGATTTCTGCCAATTCAAGTTGAAGTAATACTTCTGTCTAATACAATGGAATGGGCCTGAGAACCCTTTTCAGGACAGTACACATGCTCAGTGGCATACTTTGGGCCAGCCTTCCTCAAACTAAAAGAAAGGTTGTTTGAACAGAAGGCCACGTAGAGCATTTCAGCTGCAAAGAGCTGAAAGACAAGAACCTCCAACAACCAAGGTCAGGAGGAGAGCTCAGTGTTATCTTCACTGCAGCTGATGTTACCCATGGAAGCTGTGTAGCATGTGCATCTATATGGACAGACAGAAACATGGTACAGAATGCAACTCACAGCTGACACCCAAACTGACAGGAGGAACATCAACAAATGCATTTGCAACTTACATAAGGGACAGTGTCAGAAATACTGTCTCCTGTATGTTTGGTTCCAAGACTCTTTGTCTTTTCAGGCACTTCTACCTGCTTGAGAGGAGAAAAACCATCAGGAGGTTTAGCACCAGCACAGTTTCCAGCCACACCCTCTGGATCAGGCTGCTCAAAAGATACACTTCTCTGTTTAAACATGGCACAGCTCTGCAGGATGGCCAGGAGTGCTTCCTGGTCACACCAGGACCAAATATATTAGTGTGGGATGTGGCTGAGCTCATGCACAACACACAGCAGAAGCAAGGAAGTACCCTGGAATGGGACTGACCCTCTATGCAGCCAATATACCCATCCATGAGGGGATGGAAAAAGGGCTGAGCTGCCTCTCAGTGTTCACTCTCAGTCACCATGAAAAATATGCCAACAACAGTGTAAAGCCTCCCCCAAACAGTGCCAAAAGTCCCCAAAACTCCCAGGCAACATCTCTCACCCTGTCAGTCATTTCAAGCACCTGAGAATCTGAAACTACTCATACCATGAGCAAGTGTTTAATACATAACCTGAAGATGTATCTTTAAGTTAATACAGTATTTGCATTAAAAAAGAAAACAAAACAAAAAACTCAAACCAACCAACCCAAAAACCACCTCAACCCCCAAAGAAAACCAACAACCAAACATGTTTTCTAGGTAGAAAATTCATATCTCTGCATCCAAGTCTTTGGAGGAGGTCAGAGAGGGTGCTTTAATTTACACATGCAGATGGAGTTAGTGTAGGTCTGCTATATTACCTGCAGATGGGTAACTCTTGAACTGTGACTTACAGGACTTGATGGCTCTCTCTGGCTCCTGATGCTATGGATGCTACCAATTTCTGTCTGAGAGCTGGAGTGTGACAGTCCTTCAAAATAAGGTCTGAATAAGAAAAGCAAAATGAGTTCCTTATTATCAAAAACACCACAGAAGTCCACCATGTTCACAGCAAAGCAACATGACTGTTCCCAGGGGGTCCTACTGCTCCCCAGTGGTTCCAGTAAAATTTATAGGCTACTTTTGAAAGGAAAGGAAGGTCTCCAGGACAGTAAGAGAAGCCAAAAAGTCCAGGGAACCCTGTCTAGCCCTGACACTGACTGACCATCACACAGGAGACTATTTTTATAAAGCTCTTACTAGGAATGCCTGCACACTCTCACACTACACAGCAAACAGTAGCTTTTGCTTCCATAAGATCCAGGATGGGCATGTGGTCCAGCATATTCCCACAGCAGAACAGAATGCACACTGACCCCACACAAGCATTTCTGTCCTTACTACCCCAAGCACCAGGTGCAAAGTTTGACAATGACCATCTTGTTTCACGTAGCAAATGCTGACTGAACTACACAACATTCCAGAGAGGGTCTAGCTCCTGACTGAAATACAGCAACTAGAATTACTGCCTCCCCTCCCACCCCCCGATACTCTGCTCCTGCAGGTAAGTGACTCTTGGTGCTAATATGCATTTTATTTCCAGCTTGCATCTGGATTTGGCTGTCAGCCCTAGGCTCCAATTACACATTTGCTCAATAAGATAAGGTAGCACACACACAATCAGATTGTGCTTCCACATAAGAGGCAGCTCATCACACCAGGCTACAAGACTCAATTACAATTTCAGGAACTGATTTTTTTTTTTGTTGCAGAAAAAAACCACCTACAAGCCAACAGCATTTATCACATCCTCTTCAAGATATGAACTCAAGAACTGGACACAGCAAACCACAAAGCATCTCTCCAGGACCAGACACAGTAAGTTCCAATTCCAGCATTATTCCAGTAATCACACAGCCCAGAACAGTTAGCTCCTTGGCTCCAGGGAACAGGATATGAACTCTCAGTGTGCACAGTAAAACTTTCTGCTTGTTTCAAACCACTGCTTACCATAACACATCTACTTTCAAAGCCCTTCAAGGCAGGGCCTACCAACTGGTGATATCTCAGGTCAAGCTCCAAACCTTTGTAAGCCACCAGCCCCAAGACTTATCACTACTGCTCCACTCTATCCTCAACATCTTCTGGCTCACTGACAGGGAACAAGTCACTCCAGACTCAGAATCTATTCTTAGCCCAACCAGGTTGTTCTACATTAATGAGTATATTAGTACACCTGACAATTAGCCAGCATTTAGTAGATGCTGTACTGACCAACTGAAGCAGTCAGCACCCCAATGCTTTGTTTCAGAGCCATCACAACACTGAAGGCCTGAGCATGCAACCACACACCAGTCAGAAGCATAAGTGCAGCTCAAACAGTTCTTGTGTCTTCAGTCTTTATTGGGCAGGGATGTGACAGAGAACCCTGTTAGCTCAGGGTTCTGTATCTGCTCAAGACCCCGAGCCAGCAATCCCCAGCTCAGCTCCACAGTGCTGTGATTGACCCACACATCAGTGCCCACAAAAGCCCTTTCAAAACAGGCTTGAGTGTATCTACATGTGCTGCAGTCAGTGCCCTTGGGCCCTGAGGAATTAATTTGTTTTCTGCAGTTCTGTTTCATTAATTGTTGCAAAGATGCTCCTTCCACACAGGGAATTACCGGCCTTTCCAGAAAGACAGTCTGCCTTGCCCATCCTGTCACTACTTCTGCAGCTTCCAACACCACCATCTTCCGCCTTAGCACACACGTCCTATCCATTTCTACCACCTCCCCAGAACTCTGCCTGCCTGTCAGCAATTCCTAACCCTGTGCTCAGGTGGCAGGGTAGCAGAACATCTGCAAAGGGAACAAGGAAGAACTGAGACTGAGGAGAAGTTAGAGCCCACACACGCTACCTCAAGTTCACAAGCAGTCATTCCCATTCTAACAACACACACTAGGGCTCCAATGAGGGGAAAAACCAGAATGGAGGTGTGGGTATGAAACCAAGATCTGATCTGTGCTGACACTATGCATGGTCTCTCTCTGGTCCAGCATAAGCTGCCTCACACTTACTTTAACTTTGGCTTTGGAGTGCTCAAGACACTGTCATCATCCTCCATTTCTGGCCCGCTGTCACTGGGGTTCTCTATATCCAGCGTGTCATACAGAAGGTCCAAATCCTCCTCCACCTCTGGAACGTGCTCTGCTGGGTCCTGCTCTGAATCCAGAACCTACACACAGGAACAAAACAGTATCACTGAGCCTGTTAGGAGACAGACCGATCCTATATCACTTGTACTCTCCCCAGGCCTGCAGTACACGGTCCTGGGAGTAAGATTCTATTCCTGGTGCTTGGATATTATATCTGACAGGAACATTAGGTGTATGAGAAATGCTTGTTTTGGATCAAGCTTGTCAGTGCCTGGTTAAGCAGGAGTTTCATATTCGACTAGGCATCCATGAGCAAGCCATTTAACTCTAGGTTATGTCCATTATTCAATCCCATTCTATAAACAATGCTTTAAAAAGGCCACAAAGGAGCCCCAGTTTTCCTAGAACCAGTACAAAATTCCAGTGTTCCCAACAGCATAACCTGTCTTGGATTTTACTGAAAAAGCTGCCCTGACAACTCCCAATTTGATACCCAAAAATGCCCACAGGAGGCGCCTGAAACCTGGACGAGGATCCACTGCCACCCACACACAAGGCACAACAGACACCTCACACTGAACTTTCGTGGTTGCTTCGCACATCCCCCAGAGTAAGCAGGGAGTTGTGCCCAGTTCAGAGCTTGCTTTTGAGTGGCAGCTCTGGGAAAGCAGCAGCTCAGCTGTCTGAGCCCTTAGCTATGGGTGCTGACTCTGCTGAGCTAACTTGGGAAGAACAGCAAAGCCAACAGGACTGTTTGAAAGCATAAGGAAGCACGAGGAGTTACTCACTCTTTCCCACAAGCCACAGAATCAACACATGGCCAAACAGCCAACTGAGTTGTTAACTGTTTTTATATTAGACACTTAATGTTACACAGGGGTTCTGGATCTGTTTCATCATTTTCAGCTATGACCAAACAGCTGACTCCTGTGGATCTGTGCTCCCTGTCCAAGTTTTACATGCCTTGCCTGGTGGTTCTAGTAAGATGATCAAATAGGCTGGGATTGAACTTCACAAGCAATATACACCATAGACTATTTGCCTTTGAAAGGGTCAAAGATAATTTCAAAGCAGTCTGCAAAACTAATGAGTACACACATGGCTGCCAAAATCTGCTTTTGATAAAACCCGATGTAGAAAATGTTTGCTGACATTTAGAAGCTGGCCCTCAAGCCTCCATGCAAGGCCAGGGTGTAAGGAAAGGTCACATCCACTGCAGCCTTGAAAACAAAATGAAGGAAACGATGGGAAAATGGGAGAGTGTTCCTGAAGACTAAAGCAAGATGCTCCAAGCAGAGGGCAACACACAAGACAGGAAGGCTTACAGAATTACTTACTTACCTCATCAGACACTTTAAACCTCTTCAGCAATGCCACAACCTTCTGTTTGAAGTTTTGTTGCTGTAAGTTAAAGACACTTTTACATAAATAAAGCATTGAATGAACTGTTTTCTCCCAGTCTGCAAGAAGCCCAGACACACCTCACACTGGTGCTCTAGCTGCTGCTTCAACTCAAACAACTCTTGGCACCACAGACCACATCTCTGCTCTTCTTACATTGAAATCAGCTTTTCCACACCTATGATAATTTCCTTCCTGCATCACCACAACCTAGGTCCCACTCCACCAAGCAGTATAAGTCTTCTGGCCCTGACAGATGGCACACCACTCTCGGTTGCACACACAGTGGATAACAAACCATTTTATCTGCCAGATCAGCTCCTATACCTGTTTGAAAGATTTTTGGCAAACATTTGACTGTCAGCTGTTCTAATTCTTAACAAGGGTGAGGGGTTTGGTTTTGTGGTTTGTTATTTTTTGGGTTTTTTTAGGAGCTTGCAGTTCATCCTGGCAGGTTCATTTATTTGAGTATTTGAGTAGCAGCACTGGAGAAAAGTTGTGGGGCTTGTCCTTAGCTCTCATCCCTATCACAAAAATGCTTCCCAAGTCATAGCCCCACATCCTGGACACAGCAAGCACCAAGTCTGAAACAACACAAGCCAAACCACTGCACTTTGTGTTTGCTTGCTCCTAAGAGCCCCCTCTTTTGCAGGATGAAACAGCTGAGATTTGCCATGAGCTGCCCAGCCCTTCTCTGCCTGTCACTGACCAACCCAATATGCACATTCTGGAAGATACAGGAAGATGAGAAGGGCCCAGGGTTGAGTGCTGGTACAGAGCTTTTGAAGTGGCATCCCTGTGTCAGAAGGAAAGGGAGAAGAAAGTGGTTGGTACCAGGGCATTCTTAGTTGAAGAAAGTTCTTCACTTGCTGGCTCTCTCCTGTATCTCACGTGAGTTCTTCTTGCAAGTCCAACTGCTTGCTCCCACTCTGGCCTCAGACACTTCATACAAACCCATGCCTTCAAAACTAGCCCTTTACCTCTGAACTCACATCCTGTGAGCTGCAGCCACCTCCGTAGACAGCTGAAGTTTAGGTGGAATAAATGCCCCAGACTCTTCAAAGACTGCCCTATTTCTGTCCCCAATGCACCTGTGAGGCCAAGATGCTCTCATGATAGTGAGGGTTTTCCTCTGGCTCAGGACATCAAGCAAAATCATCCATCACACAGACCACCTTGGACCAGCTGGGCAGTCTGTGGAGGGAGGACACAAAATGCAGTAGCTAAGGTGACGTGGCAAGAGCTGTTTGCTGGTCTGAATGGTTTGACAAGAGAGGAGATTTGGTTTGGAGCTGTGTTGATGTTAACTTAAGTGGCAGCACCAAACCCAGGTTTGCACCAGTCGCACACGCTGGAGGTTCAGTATCAGTTCACTGATCAGGGCCAGAAAGACTTTCCTATTATGAGTTGGTTCCTTAATAATCAAGTGGTGGATTTTGTCCTGGCTGGTCACTGATACTTCAAAACAATACTAAAGACACCAAGGATATGAACTAGCACACTCCTGGTCTCATAGAAAGGATTTTCATGTTGGTAGATTCAGGTTAAAACAGGGTTCATTTCAAAGCTTATAAAAACATGCATATCAGAAATAGCCTTACAGGTGGTACAATGACCTCCAAACTTACTCCTAAGACCAAAACCATACCTAATCCATTCCGGTGATTCCGAGTTATTGTCACCACTGACATGCATGAACGCTTGTGCAAGCAGAAAGCTGAATTATGGACTGGTCAAGCACAAGTCCCTGCTCCATACAAGTGCAGCACTGCAGGCACACTTATGCTTGTGTGAGAGGGTGGATAGCTGCATGCATCTTTCTGAAGCTTCTATATATTTAATATCCAGCTATTTGTTTTGCCTCAGCACCACATGCAACACCTCACGTTCATCTATCAAACTCCAGGCCTTGACTAAGCTGCTTCATTTTGAAACCCTCCTGCTGGCCTCTCCCATGCAGAGCCCAAATAGAAGAGCTTTCCTTCACTTACAGCTGCTTTCAGGACTTACACGGGCATGGATCCTGCACTGGCTTCTTCAATGAGGATAGAAGTTCATACATTTGCATGATTTTTGGAGCTCCTTAACTTTGCAGCCAAAGGATACCAAAGACAGCACATGCACGCAACCTTGGATGGTCCCACTCCCTGAACTGGCTGCTTTTCCTGGCTCTCTGCATGCTGTGACAGTGCCCCCAAGCTCTCTGCTGGACCAGCATGTCTAGTACTGCTGCTCCCACAAGCCACATGCACTGCACATCCTGGCCAAACCCCGTCAGTGTTAGTATAACTAATTTCCACCGACCCTGGTTATGGACGTCGTTCTTACTATCGATCTCCGCTGCTTCTTGGGCTTCCCCAGCTCGTACTCATCATCATCCAAATCCTGAACAGAAAGAGGATTCCTGTGTTACCTTTGTGATTCTGTGACACGTGAGCATTTAAGCACTAAAAATGTTCCTTCTATGAAGATGAACCTGCGGCCCTGTCTTCCAGGCATTCAGCATTTGCCTTAATTGCAATTATGATGGCAGAGGGAAAAGGAAGTGAACCAGGTCTGCAGACACAGGCATAACAGCTCAGAGAGGCAAAACAGCCCTAGTTTTACATTCAGGGAACAAGGACAGTCATAACCCCATATTTTGGTGGGTTCCTCTCTCAGTACCCTCCAAGAGGTGGAAGGTAGGTGATGCCAGAGTCTGAAGGCAAATAAGACCCAAACTCAAAAGCATCTCACATCTAACCGGTGGGTTCTTTGTAAGGACCCATTTTGCAAAAGGTATTAAAGACTAAAGGCTGCCTCTGACCCCACTGGCCCTTTAATTACAGTTGGGCTCTTGGAATCCAATCACCACTGTAGAAGCAATAGAGTCATGCCCTGACAATTAAGCAGAGAAACACATGGATACTAATGTTTTTTAAGGGAGATCAAGTCCAAACATGTGAACAGATAAATCATAGCATGGTAGAAGAAAAGGGTTCTTGTGCAGGCTTTGTCCACTGCAGCTAAACACTTGGTAACCGTCTCACACTGGCATGGCTTAGCTAAAGAAACAGACTTTTAGTTTCAAGCATGAGCTGAGAGTGTACCTGCTCTACTGAGCTCACAGAGAGAAACCATGCCCTAAACAGTACCTGGCCCTGCACGGCATCATCACTGGCCTCCTGCTCAGAAGAGAAGCTCTCGTACTCTTCCTCGGAATAGTTGTCTGAAAGGGAAGGAAAGAGGGGAGAGATCCTGTGAAACTCCTTTAAGGTGAGGGCACGGTCTCATCTCAGGAGCAGAAAAGGCCGAGTCACAAATCAAGAAAGGAGGTACACAAGGAGAAGTTAAATTAGCAGATAAACACAGTGCTAGAACCAGTGAGATGGGAACTGTCTGGAGGTAAGGAACAAGGAGAAACACTTCCAGTAAGAAGGAAGGACCAGCACACGGATAAGGTTCCTTGACACACCACCTCCATTTACCCTGGAAAGGACCACCTGGTAGACAGCAGCAAGTAAAGAGGTTTCTCCACAGGGGAAATTAATTTTTCCCCTAACATGGGCATAACTGCCTTAAAGGAGGAAGTAAAACATGAAAGGAGAGCCTAAATCCTTTACTGAAATGACACTTCAGGTGAGCTACCTGGACTCAGGCAACAACACCTGAGCACCTGTGTGAACTACCTTCAACAGTTGACTCTTGTAGCAGTGAGCAGAAGCTGGTGCCACAAAAAAAGATGATCCCAAGTAGAAACCCAGTGTCTTCCCTATATAGCGCACAACACCATGGATTTGCACTCATTAAACCAGGCCATCTACAGTCGTTAAACCAGGCCATCATCCACAGCAAAACACGTTGCAGGTTCACAGGTCTCATCTAAAGTTAATGAGATTTATTGCAGAATACTCAAAAGAAAAAGAAGATGGAAGAGGAGCTTAAATGTGAATCTCCTGAATACAACACTTATCCAGGTGAGAAGCTACAGGTTCTCAACTCACCCCCAAGTAATGCTGGCAGAGCGTTGGTGAGAACACAGCTAACTCTTGCTGGATGGTCAGGTCTGGTGTGGTATGCAGGAAAAGCTTTGACAACTCAATCCCCCACTCCTGTCACACTCCCTGCTTACACAGCAACTCGTTTGCAAAGTGGGTTTCCTTTGCATTAATCAGTTACAGATACAGCAACTTGTGCAAGCCAGCTCTCGTTTGTGCCAGGAAGCATCTAAACCCAGGTGGGGTTTAACTGCAGCTAGTTCCAGAAGACACTGGTCCTCAGAGCATGTGGTTGTAACTCTTACCTGTAGACTTGATTTTCTGGCTGGCCTGCATGGTGCTGTCTTCATGGTCGATTGGCTGGCTGGACAAGGAGAAGATCCAGATTTCTGCTACCTTCACTGCAGCCTCCTTGATGTTGCTGAAAAGGCTGAGAACCTGGCCACCTTCTGTTGGGTGCTGCATGACCTGGGACAGAAATTAAGCAGTACAAATCTGCATTTAAATGTACTTACACTTGCATCATTTGCATACCACGAGAGCTATTTATGTTAACACAGTTACTCCACATTTCCAAGAACAGAAGCAAGCCAAGACCCTGCAACTGCAGGAGCCACTTGCAGGCAATACACAATGTTAATTGAGATTATATCTGACTACTAATGGAAGTGATGGAAGGAAAGAAAAAGCATTCTGAGCTTAACAGCTATCCTTGAAGCCCAGTACTTGACTACCTCATCACTATGTATCGGCTTCCAGGGCACAGTACTGATTTGAATTATCAAGTCAACCACCTTATGAACACCTAATTAAGGAACATAATTTTGTCTTAAAGCCCTGCAAAAGAGTCAGTAAATGCAAAAATTCTTGGTGAGATACAGACATAAAGTGCTTCCTAAAGCAAATCCCTACTCCAAAGAGCCAGCCCATGAATGTCAGAGGAACTGGCCACCCCAGTATAATGAAGCAGTAGGTCATGAAAAACAAGACAGTGGTGGAGGCAGAGACATCTTGGCGCAGGTTTCTCAGTCCTTTGCCATCACAGGGCTCTCCCCAGAATGTAAGTCTTCTGTTCCTCTCTTGCCCCACCAGAGCCAGCAAGCACATCCCCGCTCCTGCACCTCAGCTTTCCAACACACACCAGGTTGCTTCATCAGCTCCTCACGTGGCTCTAAACAGACCTGAGCTGATGAGGAACACATGCCCTTGCCCTGAAACTCTGCTCAGACCCTCAGCTCCAATTCACTGCTTTGTTTCAACAGTTAAAAGAACTTTTTTTTTCTATTTTTTTAAGGAATGAGTCAGTGCAGTTCAGGGGTCATTATCCTATAAACTGCAAAGGGAGGGGGGAGCTTGTAAAATTTGTTTTCCTAAAGAATTCAATTTCATAAATATTCCAGATGAGCTGGAGAGCAACTATTTCCTAACATGGTGCACCTCTGAACATTTTTGACCTTCTGATCTCAGTCAGCTGACATTACAAACAGACATAAGAGAAAGCACATGCAGCAGCAGCAGCAAATGCCCAACACTTAGAAGTTCCCTGATGGTTCTAATTAATGGACCTACATGTTTTCTGCCTTACAGCAGTATTTAATTTCTAGTTCTTCAACAAATCAAACACAGTACAGGAAAAATGTTAGCTGCAACACCAGAAACCTGGCCAACTCAAATGAGTTCACCATTTCCTGCAAGACTGAGGGAAGCTGAACTCACAGAAGAGAAGTAGTCTTTATAATTAATTATTTAATACAGTAATAACTCACCACAGCATAACACCAGCTTATTTTGGATAAAAATTATTTGTTGACAGAATGCAGTCTCATGAAAAATACTGGGATTAAGCTGAGTTTGCTACTGCTAATCCCACCCCTAAATACTCAGAAACAGCAGGGCACGAAATAACGAAGCATTCACTCAGAAAGCCTTAGTGAATAATTTATCCCTACTTGATCCCAGAATTAATTTTATCATTTACTTCTCATGAATAGAACTCCACCTACATTACCAACAGCCATGAAATAAGAATGGCAAAAAGTGTTTTAAGCAAAATGGAAGAAATTACTTAATGCTGAGCTGTCATACTGTGGCACTGAGAAGCCCAGCAAACCTTGCCTTAACTTCACCATTTCTCAGGGTTCAAAGCCTGCCCAAGTGACCCTGTCTTGTTCTGCACTTTTGATCTGGACATCTAACTCTTAAAAGAGCCATAAAACAATAACAAAACCCTCACAAGATCATAAGCTAGCCTTGTGAAAGCTTTAGCTCTCAAGATACGATGCAGAAAACACTCAATATTATTACTCAGTAGTAAAACCCATTTAAAATATTGCCCTGTGAATTTTGATTACAGCTATTAAGACAGATATATGAAATCCTGCTAGGTACTTCTCAATGGGGAAAACGACAACAATGGGTTTGAAGAGAAGGGAAAACATCCACCTGTGTAGACAGAGACCATGTCAAGTGCAGCTCACCTCAGCCATGTTGATAGACCCCACAGCCAGAGTCTTGTAGCCTAAAATGGTTCGGTTCTTGTAGCGCTTCCGCCGCTGCAGCATGATCTGAAGCTTGTTGCCTTCTCTCTTCAAGAAGTGAGGGTACTGCAGTGGGAAACACAATGGAAAAGTTCATTACTTTTCTTGACAGTATCTCCCGAGCTACCTGCTCCACAAGCAACTTCCATTCCCAGGGATTAATTCCAGGGCTTTTACAAGTAACTACATCAAACTCACACTCGGGGGACAATCCTTCATTATCCCCTAGAAGACCTCAGCTCTGCCTGAACAGCTCAGCCAAGCACACCAAAAACACAGTCCAGGGACACAGAGGAACTGTTCAGTTTGGGAAGGGCTGAACCCAAGCCTGGTTCCAGGGAGACGAGCAGCCTTCAGGAGACACTTTCCCCAACAGCTAAATGGAGGCTGCCCAGAACTGGAGCCCCCGAGGTGCCGCCTGGAGCTGCCCTGCAAACAGTGGACAAACAGGACATTCCCAGGCAAAGGCTGCTTCCATTGCAGGCAAGACCTACTTTTTCTTTTTCCTTGGAACATTATGAAAATAACTTCCTGCCCATCAAAACACTTGACAAATACAAATACCAAATGCCACCAGAAACCCCTGAGATAATAATTTGCAGTCCAGAGCAGGCCTGACTGCTCCGCAGGGAGTTGGGAGCAGTGGCCACTCTAACAAGAAGAATACTAATTAGCTGAATGCTCTGTAAGGGCAAGATCTACTGCTCATTGCCCAAGGAAGCAGCCCTGCAGGGAGAGAAACAGCACTCCCCGTAATTAAAAGGCAACCTCAAAACACAAAGAGCCCGTGACTTTACAGATGTGCAACATCCCTAAACAAGGAAGCAGCAAGAGGAGCTCAAAGAACCAGAGGCACCTTTAACATTCAAATTTACCATCTCCTTGCTTCTGGGGCCCTTCCATGTGTTGGGAGGGCAGGAGGAAAGAGGGACTCCTTACTCTCAGCTCAAAGCATTTGGGCCGCACTAAGGCTGTTTAAGTACAAGCCTAAAGTTCAAAGTCATGCCTGGTCCCAGCCTAGGTCAGTTTGCATGTGTTCAGTTTTTAGGGATTAAACTGGATAGCTCAAGTCCATACATGTGTAAGTTTCTGTTTTTCAAAGGTGTGTTGTTTGGCCATCTCTGATGAGCATTCAGAGAGGTGGTAAAAGAAAGATACAGAGAAACTCAGGCCACGCAGCTCCTCTGTTACAATCGAGGGCCTCCAGAAGAAAAGCTGAGCCATTTGTATAGCACAGACCAGCTCTTTTTAACACCAGCCATGAGTTATCAACTCTACAGAATGGTTTCAACCAAAACTTTTCAGCAATTGTCAGTCCATGACAGAAACTGGAGAGGAAAACATTTTGACTCAAAATATTTGAAAACAAGATGTTTAGAGGAAGCATCAAGCACCTCAAGGCACCTTTGAGGGGTGAGAAGAAGGGGCCATGACACACCTGAACAGTGAGACTCTGGGGAAGACATTTTTTCTGAAGCCCCAGTGATGTAATTTCTTCCCTCTGAAAAGGTTTATTAGATTAAAGACAGGAATTAACTGCTCTGGAGAGCTGTGATGTTGTTCTTGGAATAGCTGGGAAATTTCAGTTGATTCTGATAAAACCCACAGAGGATCAGGAGAAGACATTCCAGCAGTAAGGGTGATGGCAGCTCACCTGCCAGAAAGGCTACTGCTGGTCTACCCCTAACTAGAAGGTGAAACAGGATTGGACACATCACTAACTTCAGTCTTACCCAGCTGTGTAATAAAGCAACAGGAAACTCCTCCCTTCAGTTTGAGTAGAGGCCTGCCAGACACAAGGGGCTGCTTGCTGTTCAGCCAGCCAGCACTGTCACCTCTGGCTTAGCTCTGACAAGAAAACATTCTGTCCAAAGGACAAGAATGTCACCCAGGAGAAGCAGCTGAGCAGGCGACAACTGTGAAGGAACAAGGGGCTGCAAATCCCGGCAGGTAGCACAAAGCAAGGCATAAGGTCTGAAGAGCTGACAGTGCAATATGAAGATACTTGGCTGCTGCAAGACACCAAAACCTTCTTGTTCTGTGATGCCCACACACTTTTACCTTGTGGCCCATCCCATCACCACTCTCAAATACATCCCAGGTACTAAATTCAGACTGTATCTGAATTAAGGTCCAGTTGTTAGCTAGGAGAAGCTTCCAGCCATTGTCCAATTAAGCAACAATAAAAGTTGTAATAAACCCCTGCTATTCTAGAATGCTTCCCAAGCCTTACTGCATCCAAGCCCACCAATCCTTCATGCAGTCACTCAGAGATCAGCAGCATATCTCTGCTTTAAGCTCACTCACCTCTTCTATGGCTCAGTGTCACGGACATCACTCTCTCCTATTCTGGCTCAATTCCCAGCCCCGTCAGGGGAAACAGAGTTAAAGGCAATGCTCTGCATCCTGCTGCAGCATTGCTCTGAGACCCAGAAAAAACTCCAACCGTATTCCCAATTAATTCCAAAAAGATCTGCAGACTTGCTCCTTGCTGACACAGGACTGGCAGAGGAAGGCCTGGCTCATCTTACAGCTCTGCTCCCAACCATGGGAAACCTGCAGCTGCAGGACCCAAGTGTGCATATTCCTGGCATGTGGCTCTGTTATTCCTGCTCACAAAAGAGGGAATGCAGTTAACCCAGTTTGAGCTGCATCTGGACAGAACCAGAAGCATGAGCCCTCTATGTATCTGCTTGGGCAGCTGCAGGGTTACCATTCATCTGCAACGAAATCTTACCCGCTTCAGGTCTGCACAGGTCTGAGCAACAACCAGACTCACATCATCACTTCAACCTCTCCCCTTACCAGACCAAACTCCTGGAGTCAAGACCTAACCAACAGTCCCAAAACACAGATAATTGAGATTCCAAGTATTAATGCTTCTGAGTGTCTGTCTGGCTCTGCTCTGTGTTCAGGATCCTCTCTCGCTTGCAGCAAGCCAGCCTCTTTTTACCTTACTTCCCTGCTCAGGAGGTAGCACCAGGGCAGCAGCACACTGAGGAAAAGAGGAACTATGAAATGCAGTGGCTCCAATTCACAGCTATTTCTGTGACTCTAGAGCCAGGAGTAACTATAAGCAAGCTGCTCCTGCCTCCACAAATGGTGCCTCCTTCAGTAACTCCAAATCAGAAGTTCCTCTGACTCATTCTTACTATTGCCTTCTGTCAGACTGACACTCCATGTCACCCCCATGGCTGCCATCCTCCAGTGCCTACTCATAAAGAAAGCAACAAAAGGCAAAAAGAGCCATCCTGTTCTGCTCCAGTTCCTATTATGAACATTCCTGTCCATAACTTGAAGAGGACAGTCTTCATGTTCCTCTTCCTTCATGGTTATCCTGGGCTCCAAAACCAGGATGCACAACAAGGAAGGTCCCCTAATACTGTGAACCAGCACCCAGCTTTGGGCCCTCAGTGCTGAGAGGCAATTGAGACAAGTTTGTGTTGTTGCACATGGGAACATGCCGAGGATCTTCACCTCAGACCCACAACACATCCCTGCTCACTGCAAGCACAAACGTCCCACCCTACCTGCAGCGAGAAGGTCAGTGCAAGCTCCGTCTCCACATGTCCACTCGGGGGCAATACAATCTCATGAGACCGCAGGATGCGCTTGGAGCCCTGTAAGGAAACAAAGTCCATCGGGTGAATTCCCCAGAAGCCAGCCCTTATATCCCACTCCAGTCCTATTTACTGCAAACCAGGAAACGTTGTCAGGGACTACCACAGAGAAGTGAATGGATGGCTCTGCCCTTGCACTTCTGTGAAATATTAATGAGATGAAAGGGAGATATTTGACTAATAAAGATTTGGGCATATTTACTGTCTCTAACTGCAACAATGCAGCTTTTGTTCTGAGGAACCCCAGCACTGAAAAGCTGTGAGTCAACTCCCATCCCTCCAGTTGAAGTCTCATATTTTCACTTCAGCCAATAGGTACAAGGCTCATCATCTCCTGGGTCTGGATGCTGCAGCATTATGCTTAAATCCCCAGCGTTAGCCACGACAGACTGGGCTTTTCTGTTTGTGCACACAACTCTCCCTGGGGAAAGCGAAGACTTTAACCTGTTTAAACAACTGCGAGTAGCTGGGGATATAAAAGAAAAAAAAATCCACTAAGCATCTCAGTCGAGTCTGGAGACCTAATGTATCTCAGGGCAACTCCAAATCAGCCCTGTGTGTGGGTTGCCATATATTAACAGAGTCACTGGGCTATTTACTGTGTGAGTGTTTCATCTCAGGGAATGTTTGAGGGAAAACTAGCAGGAAAACATGACAGACTGCTGCCTAGCAAACCCTTCTGCATTGTTCAAACAGTGGCAAGTTTCAGAGGTCTCTGGCTCACTGTTCTGCTGAGGCTGCAGATCTGGCTTTGTCCAGACAGGCTGATCTCCCAGAAGCACAGAACTGCAGCTCGCAAAAAAGCAGCATCTGGGAAATCGGAGACAGACTGGGGGCGTCAACACCTCCAAGCTACATCCAAAGGGAAGTGTGGTCTGCTCATATCAGCCTCGAACGGCATCACGAGATGAGACAGCAGCAGAGCTTCGTTTACATCCCTTCCTCCCCAAACGCATCACTCAGGCGGCCAGAGCAAATGCTGTGATCTGCAGTGGTGCCTCAGTTCCTGCACAGCACCAGCTCCTCTGTGGAAAAGCTGAGGTGCCTGAGCTCCAGCAGATCAGAAGACAGACAGCAGAGCAGAGCAAGGGACCGAAGGGCTGCCCCCAGGCCAAGCAGCACATGTGAAAGTGAAGCACAGCGAGCCTGGCCGCTGGCAACAGTGGCAGCTGCTCCATCTGTGCAAAGCTCCTAATAGCAGCAATCTTGCTTTACTGGTTACGCAACCTGAAATCTAATGAAAGACCAAATGTAGTTGCTTTCAAAAGACCGCAGCAGATAAACAGAGCAACGGCTTGGGAAACACAGTTGACAACTCTTTGAACATCACTGTTCAGGAGGCTGCAAGGAGACACGGGAAATGCAGGTAAGATGCTCTCATTAGGTCTGAGTTCACTCATCCCCTCTGGAAGGACTCCAGTGTCTGACACCTCTTGTGCGATTCCCCACACAAAGGCAGTGAGTCATTTGACAGAGATCACAGAGTTGATGATCCAGTATCACCAGGCTCAAACAATAGCCATGTCAGAAACCTGAGCGCTGGCAAATGAAGCATCCCTGAAACAGCCTGTCAGCATCATAACCTGCAAGCTATAAAGGGACTTTTAATAGCAGGGCTTCAAACCTGCCTGTGTCTGACAGCTGCACTGCTACTGACATCACATCCCAAAGAAATACGGGTGCAGTGCCCCACAAGTGATATCCAAGGTGAGGAACTCTCTGGACAATGGTCATTCCAGCCACTCTCACCTCTAGGTCAACGGGACAGGGCAAAATAAGGATATCCTGGTGCTGTGAGCTGCAGCCTAGGACTTGGCAGATGCACATCCTGAACAGGGCAAGTCCTTCTGCCTTCACACCAAGGCAGATCCCAGAGGAACGGGGAGAGGACCGCTCAGGTTCCAGCATCTGAATTACTGCAGCCAGGCAGGTCACAACACGTACCCAAAAAGCCCCATGTGTTAAAACTCCCTTTGGACTTGCAGGTCTGGGGCAAGCTTTCACCCACAGGAAGTGCAAGCAGTAACCTGGGTAGCAAAAGAAGGTTTTGCTCTAGTAAAAGCTACTGAATTCTCCCACCCACATCTGACATGCTCAGGGTGTAGGATCATTCACTGACAAGACTCAAGTCCTCATAGCGATGCATTCACCATCCAGGAGCACAAACATATGGAAAGCTTTCAGCCTTGACAAGCAGTATCTGTCAGCCTGGAAACCCACAGCGGTGCCTCTTCCAAGGTTCCCTCAAATCTAGGTGTGTGAAGCAACTCCCTGCCTTTCTACTCACTGCATGGCTGCATGAACCCACTCCAACACAGAGGGGCACATTTCTGCCCCAGCTGGATAACTCATGGAGATGAGAGATACCAATTAAATCCTCAGCTGCGTGTTTTTGTCCCACAGCTTTCACCTTCTGAGCTACGTTTTGTGTGCTTTGACACAACCAGATCTCTGCAGGGGTTTGCCTAGTTCTTTATTTGAAAAGCAGCAGCTTTTCCAGCACGGTTAATGGTATTTTTCTACTTATAGGTCTGCTAGGCTTCTACTCGTTAAGCACTTCAGCATTTGCAGCGGTGGGAGCACGTGAGCCGAGCTGATGCTGTGACGCACGGTGGAACCGAGTCCCCTTCCTTCCCAGCCTGCCTCCAGGCAGTGTGACCTACATGAAGCCACCTAATTAAACGGCACAAACGTATGCTGTAAAGTGGGTTATTTACCTAGGATGACAGCTGTATTTCAGGGAAACAAATTAACATGTACAGGCACGATACAAATCCACTGACAAGGACCTGGCTACGGACTCAACAGCAGAGCTGCCCACCAGCAAAGGAAGGCCCATACTCCAGACCCCCCAAACCAGGACCACAAAGTTACCACGATGTTCATCCCCAAAGTGAGCATGTTAAATGAAGAACCAGGCTCAGATTTAATGCCAGTTCGGGAAGAAGGGGTGACAGCATATGATCTGTAAAGAGCATTTTTACATGCAAATTAGCTCATGCTGAGCCATCAGTGAACAATATTCTTCGCTTACAACAGCGAAACGTGTTAGGGGGAAGGGTCAGAAGAGACTGCACACATCCAGAATGCCCTGATATACTTGGGAAGAAGTCTGTGGCTGCAATGGACCTTACGTGGAGGTGAAGCTCAGTTTGGGCATCTGCCAGTATTTTTAGTCAAACACCACAATTCTTAGAACTGAGCAACAATTACCTGCATTTTGACAGCAATGACCCCAGAAATAAGCTCCTTATCCAATTCCTTTAAGACTACCAGTTTCTTTAATGTCAAGCTGCACAACCTGCAAACAGGAACAGAAAAGAAAGTTACAATCATGCCTGAAAAAGGAAAAGCTCTGAACAGCTTTTACATACAGCATTATCCCGATTTGAGGGTGAACAGGCTCTGGACACAAGCCACACACTGATACAGACATAAAGACAGCAGAAATATATGAGGCTTCCCTGGCTTCTCAAACTCAATTTCTCCAACTTTTCATAAATACATCTCTGATACAGACCCACGGCCACATGAGAGCGCCACGTAGCACTGACTTTCACAGATCACAGCCTGGGAACCTTGCCCCCAGTCAGACCAAAAGCTTCAGGGTCAGAGGAATTAAATTCCAGCAATATAAAAGCACTGGGTCAGTCTAATTTTAAACTCATCTACAAAGCTCTCCTAGATTGTTGGCTTTTTCAGTTTCAGACTCCTAGCTCCCAAAGATCTTGCTCCCGCCTCCTGTCAACCCAGGAATTCTCCTCCTCGTCCCCAAACACAAGTGCAAGTGGCTCAGGCGTCTCTAATGGGAAAGGGGGAAAAAGGAAAAAGAAAGAAGAAGAGGACACAAGCAGTGCCCTCTGGCCCTGGTGTTCACATGGCATGCATATGCAAGTAAATCACATTCTTTACCCAGGCAATGCTACATTGTTCTGGTTAAAGCTGTTTGCACTTCCAGAGCAGGGAGCTTGGGAGCGGATGAAGTTCGGGATTTGGTGCAGCCCAGTCAAGGTTCTGAGGTAACAGGATCACTGTAATGGCACTGTCACAATTTCACACAAGTTACCACCAGCTGGGGGAATTCAGAAGGCATACCCATAAACAAACTTCAGGGAAAGATAAACCTGAAGCAAAGGCAGCTCAGTTTGAGGAGAGCAGAGGCCAGAGAAAGTTGTTGGGTGGGCTTTAGTGACCAGCCATCATCTGTCACGCTGGCCAGGAGCCAGTGTGTCTGGTCTTTGTCCGGTCCCTCCTCCATGGCATGGGCATCTTTGGCCTCTGACATGCAAATGTTAGCAGGTTTCAGCATGGCTCCTCTGAAACCCACTGCAGAGCTCTTTCTCCCACATCAGGTGTAACTGAGGGGTGTTCATTAAAGGGTCAAGTCCAGCAGTAGATGGGAAGGGAAGAGGACCTGATGCTGGATTTTGGAGCGTGCCCAAGAAAGCACTAGCACAAGTGCTACTGACTGAAGCCTGCACTTGAACCACAGGACTCCACACTGGTGCCAGGATACCAACAAGTCAGCACTGCCAAGGGTGACTTGAACCTCCACCACCTTCTCACCACAGTGGGAAGCTGAAACATTGCTTTGCTGCAATGCCTGAAGGTTGACATGATCAGCCTGGGTGCAAAACCGCAGAGGAGATGCAGCTAAAGGCTCTTCCTGACAGGAGCCGTGGCAGATGTTGAAGCAAGTGCTGCTTGTCTCATCCAGAAACACCCATGGCTTTGCCTGAACTCTGGAACACAGTTAGCAACACGGAAGGGCCAGTCTGAGCTCTTACGAGCTGCAGTCAAACACCTCTCCAAACAATCCCTGCCAGCCTCTTCTCCATCCCAGCCCATGCCATCTGCTATGCCTGCTCATTTGCAAAGCACTGGTTCTTGCTATCAGCCCCCAAAAACCAAGAGAAAGAGAGATCTACAAGCTCTCTCCTTTGCTGAATTTTGCATCAGAAGACAGCAAAGCCAGGGATGCTGCAGAAATTACAAGGGAGGTGGGAAAACTGGGTCTGCCTGGGCCTCTGTCCCCCTTTGTCACACCCCCAAGCAGCTGTGTGCAGTGTCACTGGGACAAACGTGCTGGAGAGGGCGTTGGGTGCTGGAGGAGGGCCGGCAGAAGCGGGCAGGACAACTGCAGCTGGGCTGGGCTGACAGAGGGGAACCAAGCGCCCTTTCCCCACAGCCAGAGCCTCCCCCGAGCGAAGCAGGAGAGACCAGCACGTTCAACTGCAAACCCAAGTGTCCCTGGGCACTGGAAATCTGTGAAAGATGAAACTGCATCCTTCAACCTGGAGGGCAGGAGAGGGTGCTGGCTTTCCCTCTTCATCCTGAACAAAACGGCAAGCACAGGCACACGTGGCTGCTGCCGTGAACCAGCCAGGCCAGGATCTGGAGGAAGGAGGCTGTGAAGCCGTTTGTTTTCTTTGTAATGCTGTAGCTGGAGGACAATTGTGCTCAGCTTGCCAAAACCCACAGAGCTTGGGCCAGTCAGGTGCTGAGAGCAGAGGTAGGACAACACACTGGCATTGTCTCAGCTGACGGGCAAGGAACAAAGGCCTTTTCTCTCCAGCCCCGAGTTCGAGAATGGACAAGGTACAGGAAGAAACAATGATGTTCTCAGCACACACAACAGAGCACAAGGAGGGCGTTCTGTTCTCAGCTGGGCATTCCTTCAATTCATCATTTATGAGCTTTGATCAAGCCCTGTGGAGCACTTGCTGCTTGGGAAAAAAATTGATCAGAAAAACAAAAGCAGTTAAAAAAGACATGGGACACATCTGCTTTCTTTATCCCTCATGGCTGGGCTGCTGGTACTAAAAGGCACTTCACACAAAAAAAACAATGAAATGTTTATCCTCTCCATCAGCGGGGGTGTGTGGGGGATGGATAAAAATCAGATTTTAAATCCCATCAAATCACTTTTACTCTCAACATACTTATTGTTTCAGGTCAGCTTACAAATGAAAACAACCTTCAGAATATGTGGTAGAAAGGGGCCATATCTTACTCAAATCATCACACAAAGGCATATGCCAAGTGTGTCAACTGCGTCCAGAGCCAGTGTGGTCTCCCTGCCACGAGCACATGGATTCCTGAACTACTCACACACTCAGGCACAGCAAGGATTTGTGTCATAACTGCCTCTGATAATGGTGGCACCTCCTTACATACACTTTTCTTTCGCCTTGGTTTTGCTGTAAGTTCATCAAGTCTTAGGGATCAGGAGAAGGACTGGTCTCACAAGCACTTCTATCAACAAGCCTGTTGAGGTTAGATGCTGGTAAGAAAAACAGGACAGACACAAGTGGATGTGGAAAGATCCACCTGGCTACGTTCAGAATAAGGCTACAGTCAGAGGTTTTTAACACATATAGCCATGATCCCTGTGAACACATAAAATAATCTATCATATACGCACAAGGGAACTAGGGAAGGCTCAAGTCTGGATCTGAAAGAGCCTGTAGATTTTAAAAGCCTGGGACTGCAATACAGGAGGTGCAGAGAAACTTTCTTTGCATGTTTGTTTCAGCAGTGACCTACAGTTGCATGGGGGGCGGGCGGTTAGCTAGCAAAAGCACAGAGTTAGCTGAAGCAGTGTTAAATAAGGGCAGTGGAAATCTGAGAGCCAATACTTCCAGCCTTTTTTGAAGGTTTATCGTAGATCTCCCTGCTAGGAGCACAGCTGGGTCCCACACAGCAGCAGGCACTGCCTGCTGAGGAGCTTGTGTCCCCTCCGGTCACTCACGTGCCCCTCATGGCGAGCAGGCACAAGTTACTTGCCTGACCCCATTCTCAGGTTAACAAATCACGCTTAAAGCATTCTACAACAGAACTCCATCTTTTTACATCACTGCTGCAAGAACACAGTTTTAAAGAGGAAACCTGGACCTGACCCAACGGTTTCAACTCGCCTTGCTGATGCAAGTCGTGCCGAGTAGCTTCATCACGAGCTCTTTGCTTAAGGAGGCAGCTATCCACAAAAACATAACATTTGGTAACCGAGATTCGGCAGACGTGTCCAGAACAACAAATAAAGAGTTGCATTCTTTGCTCGCTGGATGTTTTGCTTTTGCATCCCTCTGTGTAGGAAAATCAGGAAAATAAACCCCCTCCAAGAAAGAGTCTGCCTCGCTGAATTAAATGCCTGTTTCTCCACAGGGAGCACAGTAATTGCAGCGAGACCTCGCTCATGCAGAGACAGTCGAATCAACAGGAAGGAAAAAGTAAAAATTAAAGACTTGCATTTTAATTAAACCCCACAGAAGTAGAGATAATAACAGGATGCATCCATAGCTATAGGGGACTCCAAGTGCAAGATGGGAGCTGGGGCAGGAAGACTCTAATACACAGAAATCTTTTGTCCAAGTTAAAAGCTGTGAAGATATTGTCCCCAGAGAAAAGTGTTTCATGCCAAGAGTGCTCTCCTCCGAGGTCTGAAAACCTCAATCAGCCGACGGCTATAAGGAAGAATTGGTTTCCATTTGGCCACTGGACAATTTCACCTAATCCAAGTTACTTCAGCATTTTGGGACTAGCCTCGTGCTTTCAACATCAACTTTTGAGTGTTTTGCTCTGAGCTGACACTTTACACCCAAGTCAGTCCCCAAAAAAATCACGAGCCACTCAAAGGAGAAGTGGGGGGAGACACCCGCCTACACATGCACTTGCCCAGACAAACAGAGCCATTCTGCACATAACTATGGGGTGCCTGTGCAGGAGAGGCTGGAGTGAAGAGCCCTGCACAGCATTTTTCAGAGACAGCTGCTTCAGCAAGGTAGGAACGTATGCAGTGCACGAACAGTCGACTGCACAAGCAGTTTCTTGTGCCTGCTCCACACGTGCCCAGGAAGTGAACAACAGCACATGGATGAACCTGTTGCTGCACTTACATGCTAAAGGCAGGGCTCTGTTCTGGCTTAGGAGTTAGCTTTGGGACAAAGGAAGGGAGGAAGTGCTGTCCTCTGATACCAGAGTGGGGCCTCCAGGTAAGGTCAGCAGTGACAGGAGCTGCAGGAAGATGCTTCCTCACTTTCCAAAGCTTAATGTGCTAATTTAATCTGTGATCTAAAAAGTGATCTAATCTTGGTCCCATTCTCAGGGAAGTTCCAAGGCAAGATGAAATTAGGAGAAGAGGCAGAGGTCAAGCAACCCAATTTATGTCATGCCAGAAACATAAGCTGAGCAACCTGTAAAGAAACCAAACAGTCCTTCATTCACACTTCCAACCAAGCCACCTTTAGTCAGCTGTTCTAGCTACAGATCCATTTAAGTAAGGTTTAAGAAAACAATTGCAGA